ACATTTGATCATTAATAGGCTGTATTACGGGTGTAAGAAAATATTGTTTTGCGATATTTTGTTTTTTATTGATTCTCAAACACTGTATTGATTTTTGTGTTTAAACCCCAAACTTCTACATAGCAGTGTTCTAAACCTAAACTGAGGGCTATGATTTTGCCTGCAACATCCAGCAGACTGTGATGAATACAAATACATATCCTGCTGTTCTGGTTGCATAAAAAGTCAACTTTACGCAGATTTAATGTATATGGTGGTTTGTTCTTTGTACTATACAGATTTTCACATTACTTACAGTATCACAATTTATCGCAAAATATTAAATCGTAACCGTTATATTGTGATACCTATCCTATTGCTAGATTCTTGCCAATACACAACTCTAGGCTCTGTGCATGTAGAATGAATTTTTAATGGGCTTCTCTGAGAATTCTGCTTATGGCTCCGGAAAAAACTGTGTACTGAAAAGATCGCTGCAAGTCCGTTTCACTTTGCGTCTGGTGTGAACAGCTACACTGACTGATAAACCAGTTTTGAAGTGTCATTAAAAAAAGTTAGAATTCTGACCTTTTTTTTTTTTTACTTTAAACTCTTAACTTTAAATTTTCACATTTGTCCCTAATCCCTGACCCTCCACACAGAGCCGCCTGGAGCCTCCACGCAAACCTGACTTTTCAAACACAATGTAACCAATCATATTAATAAGGCCTGGATTATTTTAGGTGTTACCAGCCTTGGGTATCATATTTGTAGGCTATACTGGCTCACTGCCTGGCATGAGACAACACCATGAAGTAGCTATGTGTTTTAACTTCTACTTTTAATCTTTTAAATAATGTATGAAAGCTGCGCTGATCGTCTCATTTCTGGTAAGACAAACACAGCCCAACAGGCATTTCTGCCACAGTTTCTCTCTCTCTCTCTCTGACGCAGGAACCCCCCCCCCCCACCCTACACACACACACTGTGTACCTGTCCTGAGGGTGTGTGTGGTGGAGCACTCCTCCTCTTTCATAAACTTCCTCCTCGGCTCCATTTGCTCACAGTCAGTCAGAAACTTTCCAACACTCTACAGGACTCTATTGCTTCACCTGATACACGTATCGGGACTTTTCTCCAGCCATGAGTTGGGTTTCTCCGCCAGGGTTTATGTTGCTAGTACTGATTGCAGTGAGTACAAGGAGTTTCTGTGTTGTTTTTTTGGACAGTCTTGTTAATTCATAATTCTGCCTTATAGTGGATTCAGTTTCTATGTTCCATCTGAACTCAAAAGATACAACTTAACTTAAATACTAAGTGGTAAAACTACATAACTTGGTCTAAGCAGACTGGGCAGAGCTACCTGTAGCAGAAGATACTCTTTGTTTCCATACAAAGAATATGTTCATTTGTCAGAAAGAAAGAGTTAAAGCATATTTGTCCTATTCTTCAAATAGAATATAATGTTTAGGTGTGTTTACTGCCTCACATTATAGGCTAAAATATCTTGTTCGTGTTGACCCTAACAAATACCTGGCTGTCATGGCAACACAGAGGTGGGCTGTGGTGTCAGACATGGAGCATTCCAGTTCTCATACAACAACTTGGTCATTTTCTCAGCAGAGCTTGTTTACACGAGTTAGTGTACTGTGTCAAAATCATCAGTCTTAATGAGCATAGAAGCATATAAAGCTGAGAATTCATTTGATGCGAACATTCTGTATGACAGATTTTCAGTGAGCCAGATCATTTGGCTCAACTCCGCAATAAGAGTCGGCTCTTTAGGCTCCCAACTGGGTAATTTAGTATCACTGCTGAAATTTAGCAATTTCCTGACCCATAATTGGCATATGTACATATATCATATAACCTTATGATTTCCAGAATTCTAATTTTACATTATTATAAGAACCTTAAATGCCTAGCGCAAGATACAAAAGTCTTACCATGCGTGGATCTTAGTGTTATTACCAAAGTTAGACATTTCTAAATCGTATTATTAATGAATATGTTATAGGATCATCCTATTATTGTATTCATTCATTTTGAGAAAAAGGAAGAAATCAGCTCCAGTCGTTTGCTTAAAGGACTCGTCACTAAAAATCTAATCTCACATAATTTTATTATTTGCATTTGTTTTGTATAAAATAGATTTTTCTTATTATAATTATGAAAAGATCAAGCTGTAACAAAGCTTACATAACGTCATGGAAAGACTTACACATTTTAAAAAGCAAAGTAAAACTAAACGTATGTATTAATACCTTGAAATAAAAAACAAACAAACGTCATGCCAGAAACATATGAAATACATAACGTCAGAAAATGTTTAAAGACTTTTATTAGAAAGAAGCTCCAAGGACAATTTGCGGACTCTGTATGGATCACCCTGAATCAGATCCGATCCCATTCTGAATTTAGATATCTGCTGTATAGGGCAACATCAGACTTGAGTTTTCAAACTTTGTAAAACAAAATGTAACAGATAAATACAGAAAAATAAATACAATATATATCAATGTACTTAATTGTTATTCAATAATTACTTGTGCACCAGCAATTCTTCAAAAGGGACAGGAATTACAATTTAAGTGTATACCTGTTAAAACTCCAGTGTGTAACATTGAGGAGGATCTATTGGAATCTAATATTCAGAGGTATGTTTTCATTAGTGTATAACTGTGTTTTACCTTAGAATGATGTATGATAATGCAGTTGAATGACGTCGCTTCTGATATACTTTACCCCACAGTGGCGTTCTGAAATCTACAACATAACACAAAGTAATTAATTGATTAATTAATTACAAATAAATTGACCTAAAATAAAATGGAACTGGTGAAGATAACCATGTGTATGGAATAATATAATTATACATGACTTTTCTTTGTTTTGATATTGTCGGCATTATATATCAACCATTGGTGTCTCTAAATATCAGCGTTGGCCAGGAATTTAAATTCCAGTATATACTGTATCAAATGAGAACAAAATGTAAACATTAAATCGCAATTAAGTCACATGGTAGTGCAAACAAACATAATGAATAAATTCACAGTCACAGGGAATCAGCCTTTTAGTCTGAAAGCTGATGAAGTTGCTTCTCTTCCTCTTTCATCTCTTTGTATATGAGGAGTGATCCAGTTGGGTGTTTGGATATGTCTTTATTGTTTTCACTGGTATAGTGGTGTTTATGCAGAAATTGATATAGTCCATAATGACAGTGACCTATTATCCAAGTCTCTGTCGAACATGTGTTAGTTAATGCATGCCGGGGAGCCTAAACACCTATGCCATCTATACGGCTGTGGCTCAGGTTGTTCCTCAATCGGAAGGTTGTGGGTTCGATCCCGGCTCCCGGCTCCTGGTGCCACATGTCGAAGTATCCTTGAGCAAGATACTGAACCCCGGATTGCTCCCGATGCCGTGCATCGGTGTGTGAGTGTGTATGAATGTTAGTTTCTGTTCGATGGACTTTGCCATCACTGAGTGAATGTGTGTGAAAGGGTGAATGTGGCACGTAGTGTAAAGGCGCTTTGAGTGGTCGGAAGACTAGAAAGGCACTATACAAGTACAGGTCCATTTACCATTACCATACAATAATAGGAAATTCCCAGGTGAGATAGGGACATGACAGTTTTGAAGGGCCATACATAGCTTTGCATGATAACATAATGTAGCAACGGCCCTCATTTGCAGTTATGCCTGGTGCTTGACAGTTAACATTGCTGTTTTATATTAGAAAATACAAATGCTACTTTTTGTTAGTGTTTGTGATGTGTCTGTTTAGAACATGGTGCTATATTTGGAGGTATGTCTATGCTGGGTCATAAATTCAACCATTAACCATTAGCCACCTCGGCTAATGGCTGTATTTTGCTGTTTGAGTGAATCACAGTCAATGCTGACGCATATTGTTATACGTGCACGTAGACACAAGAATTGAATTTAATAGATTGTTCCCATTATGACCGATACCCGACCCAGCTATCTGAGTCAGTATTTGACTGATATCATCTGTATCGGATCGGTACATTCCTGCTGGAATCCTTTTAAGCTACACTGTGTTCTTTTACACGCATGTTTTTTATTTAGACTTTCTCATTCGAGATGGGGGGCCACTCCCTTCTTTTTATGTCATAACACATCTTCTGTAATAATAACATGCCTATGCATTGACTGAATGGACGACGCTTAGTGAAATCTTCTGGGTAGGGTGTGTCAGCTGCACGGTACCTGACAGGTGGATGCCTTTACACACTGGCCCTCACAGTACAGTTCAATCTCAGGGTCACGGTGCTCTACACAAAGTTCAGCCTGACTGAAATGAAGACAACATGTCTCTGCATGACCTTGTGTATTTTCACTATGGAGTTACAAGCCTGCTTTAAGTGCTGGGTTCTCTGTAAAAACTAACAGCCAAATGTGAAAAACACTCAAATCAGGAACTTAGTTCAGCTTACACATATGAGGCATTCTGTATTTCTGACTGTTTTCATATGTCAAATTGGCACAGGAGTGGCAAAAGTGTCATCAAACCGAAACCAAAATGGCGCCGAAGACACCATCTTAAAACTGCAGTGGTTCACTTTCGTAAAAATAACTTATTTGCTGAAACTTTCACTATATCCTGACAGTAGAACATGAGACAGATAATCTTTGAAAAAATCAGCTTCCTCTGGCTCCTCCTAGTGCTCCTAATGGCATTTTCATCGGGCCTGAACAAAAACAACAAATCAGAGCCATGAAAGATATAAAGACGCTTGATGGTTGAGTCTCATTTCCAGCATCTGTACTGGGAATGAGACTTAACATTAACTTTGTTTCTTGGCTCAGGTTTTTGGTTTTCTTTCAGACCCAGACAGCTTTAAGTAAAAATCTGAAAATCTACATTTATTTATATACCTGTCTTCAAAGACGAACTGAATTGAATTAGAAAACAGTGCTTGGCCAAACCTATCTCCCCTTTTTTTTTGTAAAATATAAGCAATCTATACTAAATAATATATGCATATTGTACATAAACTATAAAGACTATAAATAAACTATTACAAAACTATTCAATTTCTTCTAATTAATACATTCTTTTTTTCTTTTGAAGTTGTATTGTAATATGCAATGATGAATGCTGTGTAATATGTTGACGTGTCTATTTTATTACGTGATGAGACAATACCACTGTAACTGTAAAATCAACAATTCCAAGGGCCCATGACTGACAGGGGCCCCATAAAATAGGTAAAAACTAATATAAAATTATTAAACCATCATCACTCAGTATATATATTTTAAAGATAATAATAAAATGAATGATCTCTTTGTTTTTACTTGTTTTTGGCAGTAAAAGTAAACATCCATATTGACCGACCACCCCCCTGTATCTGCATGAAATAGTTTGGTCCTGCCTTTGCACACTTATCAGTGACGGTGTTTAGTTGCAGTCAGTAGATGCAGAACTACAGTGATCACAATGTTAACTAGTCAATCAAAATCTGGTTTTCAAAAAAAGAAAGAGAGAAAAGAGAGAGAGGAAAGACAAAGGAAAGGATGTCAATCTGTAACCCAGTGTTTCACCAAGAAAGGAGCCTATAGTCTGTGAGTGGTATTAACCTGTTGGCTTAATGTCCATAGTGAAATAAGATACAGCTACAGACTAGTGTCAGCCTACATTTAATCACCATTTAATCAGTTCAGGGAAACATTTAGCAACATATTCATATTAAATCATTGTCCCTGTCCCTTTTAGCAGACTAACAACAGATGAGTCAGCAGCACCCCAGTCTCCCCATCACTGTACCCCTCCCTGTCCCCCCATCACTGTACCCTCCCTGTCTCCCCATCACTGTACCCTCCCTGTCTCCCCATCACTGTACCCCTCCCTGTCCCCCCATCACTGTACCCCTCCCTGTCCCCCCATCACTGTCTCCCCATCACTGTAACACTTCAACATTGTGTTCAATGACAGGCCAGTTAGCATCATTACAGGGAGTCTGTGGGGATTTCTCTCTTGCTCTTTTTACCATTACAAAAAAGAAAATGAAATATTTATTAATGACAGAAATTCAAACACATTAATAACAATTATTTTCACACATAATGATCATTATGAAATAAAATAAAACAGCAACCTACTGTCTGTACTGGATGCTGGACAGTTGGAAACAGTGAGTATGCATTTTATGGTTGCTTTTAATCTTGCATCAAATAGTGAACTGCATACTGTATGCTGACTTGCATGCATGTACAAATCACCAGCAGTAACTATTGTGCTAGCACTAGCATTGAACTACAAGAAGTAAGACAGTTGCAAGCCTTTAATTAGAGTTATGTAAAGCTCTTGATGGGACAGTTAGGTCCTAGAGATGTGGTGACAACAGCTGCGCAGAGGGGGCCCAATTAGAAGTATTGAAACAATTATTGAAATTGTTCTGTGTTTGAGATGTTCAGCATTCTGTTTATACATATGTACCAAAGTATACCCCGAAAACTAAATTAAAACATACATTTGGCCGAATGAAATATTCACAAATAGAAACAGTAATGCAGGACTAATTAGCTGACCATAATCATATGAAAAAGAAAGCAAAACAAATGAGAATTTATTAAGATTAGCTATACATTAAGGATGAACATTTAAATGATAGTGAGGTGCTAATAATAATAATAATAATACTATATTAATGATCCCCACTGATTTCACTGTTATGTTGTATAAAAAAGAAAAAGTGATATGCTTTTTTTCCAATTTCTAATCAACCAACATTCCTTCAAAATGTGCGTAAGAAACTTGGGAAATGTCTGTCATGTTTCACGTCAACATCATCCTTAACAAAGTTTCTGCTTTCACTGTGAAGTAATTACATATTCTGTATTATAGCTCCAGGCTGTGGCTATGGTGAGGACCAGGTCTGGAGACAATCTGGTTAGAAAAAGGCGAGAATGGATTATCCCTCCAAAGCCACTGATGGAAAATGTAGACTACACTCAGGAAGAATTCATTGCCAAGGTGAGTCAATGGTCTCTAATTCACTTTCATTCTACACACTAACTCTGAGGCAAAGCTGCTGGAATAAGCTGACAGATAAAGCAGTCTGGTAGGATCTGTGCTTCACTAGCTCTGAGATTCAATTCCTCTTCACTACAGACTGTAACCATGGGTGAGGAGACATTTGGGACCCTGAAATTATTGCAAGCCATGCGTTTTAGTTTCAGTAAGCTTCAGCAGTATGTGTTAAAACATTTAGATTATCAAATCTGCAGTGAGAAATAAAAAGAAACCACTATCTGTCCCCAGAGGGGGGCACTGGAACAAACAGACTAGGATGTATCTGCAGACTACAGTGCACTTGTTTACTGGTGCAAATGTTTATTTCTGGTGCAGTGAAATGATCAGTCCTTTGTGTTTCAGATTCGATCAGATTTTGAAGCAGTTCACGATATTGTGTACTCACTAGAAGGTGTTGGTGCAAGCAAATATCCCTTCCACGTCTTTGTAGTTGACCCGAAAACTGGATTTATCAAAGTGACCAAACAGCTTGACAGGGAGGAGATCGCCATATACAATGTGAGTGATACATGACATATATATATAATAATAATCATACTAATAATATTATTGCACTTCTTTTTTAACTTTTATGTCACTTTTACCTTGATAAGATTGTTGAGGCATCTGGCAGCCATTTACTTACACATTAATGCCACAACCTATTCATATCTGTGAATGCATGTACTAATACAGTTTTCTGTTTCAGCTGTCAGGTGTTGCTCATAACACGGTCAATGGCAAGGAAGTAGAGAAAAGAATTGACATACGAATCAAGGTTGTAGATGACAATGACAACTCTCCAACGTTTGGAATCATCAGTCCTGTGGATGTGGATGAGCGCAGCCCCATAGGTCAGTGTTTCTGCTTTTGGGTACAGTTGGGTATGTGATGGCATAGCAATCCTGCACGGCTTTATTATAAATAAAAAGGGCATGTTAGACGTCTGCATATGCTAGATTACATGTTTTGTTACCTACTTCTATGAAGCTGCGTAAGGTCATAAAGTCAGCCTGTGTGTGCAGGGGAAGACATTACTCCCAAAGAAATTAACGGTGATCATGATTGATCTGATCTCACATGAAAGAATGCAAACGGCTTCACTAAAGCTATGCAGTGCAGTGCAAACCAGCCAACAGCAGATAAATAGCATGACACTGTACAGGCAACAGGTATCTCTGAAGCTGAAACAGCCTATTCTTAAAGCTACTTAAAAGTGGATGCAACTACAAACACTTGAGCTCCACAAATATAATTTTTTCTCTTTAAATATCTCAAAACATTTCAATGCAAATAAATCCATCTTGCATATTCAGCATTTACAGTTGGTCAAATCAAATAACATTGAATGTCTTCATTATTTATACATTCTTACATGTTGAAAACCATTGTTTATAAGCATAGTTGTAAGCCTTTCAAGGGCTGATTATTTTTGTTTTAATCTGATTCCATAATCCAGATGACATGTAATCAGCATACTTAACTATATGCCACAGAGTTACACTGAAGCATACTATGAATGTACACATTAGTACCAATAACACAGTGAACACACACTAGGGCAAACCATTTTTTTAAACTCTCTTGCTCACTTGTGCTAGACTCACTTCACACCAGATGGCAGTTGGAATGGATTAATTATTGCGTTTAATGCTGTTATTCACAGGGACTACAGTTATGAAAATAACTGCAACTGATGCTGATGAACCAGGGAATGAGAACTCTAAGATTGCCTACAGCATCATAGATGAGAGTCCAAGTGATGACATGTTCAGAATTACAAAGGATGGGAACATCGTCGTCAAAAAGCCTACCCTGGACAGAGAGGTATGGACTACACCAACATTGTTTTTAGCATAGTCAGATGAAATGTGTGTGGCTCTGTGACTTTACCTACCAAACATTGGATAAAATCATGGTGGATGTGTGTGTTGAAAAGTGATTGCTGTAAGGTAGTTGCTCTGTCCCACGCAGCGAACGTCACAGTAATGAACTTTACTCTTTGTTTCTGATGTTTTCTACTTTCAGACACATGACAAGTACATTCTGACAGTGAGAGGTCAAGACTTATATGGTAAACCAGGGGGAAGAGTCGGAAGCGGTACTGTTACCATCAATGTCCGAGATGTGAATGACCATCCTCCCACTCTGGAAAAATTATTGGTAGTTTTCTTTGTCTTTGTAGAAACAGAAAAAACAACAAAAAATGGAAATGTTGACATGCATTTTCAGCCTGGTTTGGAGCCTTAACCACAGCAAAGGAATTCACTTCAACAGCTAGTGGTTATTTCTGAGGTCATGTGGTTCACTTTTGATGTTTTGACGTTGCATCCGAATTTTCAGGATTTTCAAGATTAATTAATTAATAATTAATATTATTTCATATTTTACTAAAGATACAACAGATATTATTTTTATTTTTGCTGTTTTAATAAAGGTGAGTATTTTGGCTAAATTTGGTTATCATTTCTTATATTTAGGATGAACATGATTATTGCTGCCCTACATGGGCCCTCTCTTTTTCCACCCTTATGGTCAAAGTCAAAGAAATGCTAATACATAAATGTTGAAACAAATACTGCTGAAAAGAGCCCTGTTACTTCAATCTCAATATGTTTTACTTGCAGTATGAGGGCAGCATTGAGGAGAACACACAAGGGGTGGAGGTGATGAGAATCAAAGCAGAGGACCTGGACCTGAAGGGCACTGACAACTGGGAAACCGTGTTTGACATTGTCAAAGGCAACGAGGCAGGGTACTTCAGCATCACAACAGACCCCAAAACCAACGAGGGTATCCTAATGCTCGACAAGGTACTGCTAAAACATCACTGTTACTGCAATTTTAAATATTATATATGTGTTGGTTCCTCATTCTTTAGTGGACAAATGTAGTAAATGCAGTGATCATGCTCCATACACAAATAATTAAAAAAGTAACTTTGCCATCGGGAAAAGACTAGGTGCAGACATTACTGGTAAAAAAAAAAAAAAAGGAGTAGGCTAACTCAAGTTGAGTTTAATAATGAAAATGAACCTGGAACCATTTGACCATCACCCTCATGTCAGGGGAATTATAACAAATTAATAACCTGTGGGTGCAACATCACCTGCAAACCCTGTCCACCAACTGGGGGGTTGGTAGCCAATCCTGGAGCATGACATAAACAGACAAATGTAGCTGCTAAAAATGAAAAATATGAACTGAAGATGGGCCAGGCAAAGAGATTAACACAACACACACACACTAACACAATGATGAGAGAAAAGAAAAAAGCCTTCAGAATCATTTTCATTCCTGTTTTCTATAACACCTCAAAATCATAGATAGATAGATAGATAGATAGATAGATAGATAGATAGATAGATAGATAGATAGATAGATAGATAGATAGATAGATAGATACTTTATTTATCCTGAGGGAAATTCAAGTATCCAGTAGCATACAAAATACAAAACATACATTAAACATACATTAGACTAACATTAAAATCCCTAACCTAAAGAATAGAATTAAAAATAAAATAGAAGATAAAATATAAAGTATTATATATATATATAAATAATATATAAAATTAACAGTAGCTACAGTAAACGGTGCAAATGGAAGTAAAACAGTGAAAATGGATGTACAAATACAGGTAGAAATTGTCCATTGTCTATTGTCCATTGTCTATTATCTATTGTCCTCCCTGCCTTTACTGAGAGCTGTTGTGCAGTCTGATGGGGGACAAAAGAGTTTTTGAGTCTGTTGGTGGAGCTGGACTGGGACAGCAGTCTGCCACTGAACACACTCCTCTGCCTGGTGAAGGTGTTGTGCAGAGGATGGTGGGTGTTGTCCAGTATGGACGACAGTTTGTCCAGGGTCCTTCTCTCTGCCACTGTCAACAGAGAGTCCAGCTCTGTGCCCACCACTGAGCCAGCTCTCCTTACCAGTCTGTCCAGTCGCCTGGCGTCTCTCCTATTGCTGCTTCCTCCCCAGCAAACCACAGCATAAAAGAGGACGCTGGCCACCACGGACTGGTAAAACATCTGCAGCAGTTTTTTACAGATGTTGAAGGACCCTAGCCTTTTCAGGAAGTACAGACGGCTCTGCCCTTTCCCATGTAAAGCGTCCATATTTGCTGTCCAGTCCAGTTTGTCGTCCAGTTGCAGCCCCAGATATTATAGGTCCTGACTACCTCCACATCGACCCCCTCGATGGACACAGGTTGGAGATGTGGTTTCTTTCTTCTGAAGTCCACCACCATCGCCTTGGTCTTGGAGGTGTTCAGCTGCAGATGGTTGGACCTGCACCACCTCACAAAGTCCTCAACCAGGCTCCTGTACCCCCCCCCTCCCGTCTTTCCTTGATACATTGAACTATCGCAGTGTCGTCCGAGTATTTCTGCATGTGAGCCCGGAGTTGTACTGGAAGTCGGAGGTGGTGGTAGCAGAGCGCTAATAAACACTTACACACAAGACAAGAGGACAAGGCCAGAGCAAAACCTAATAGCCAGAGTGCTCCTTATTTGTTCAGTGCTAATATCTAACTCCCTCACTGAGCAATTGCATGCATTTAAAACAGACCACATCTGAGCACGCAGAGGGGACGCCAAGCACAGGGCAGCCAAAGCCAAATAGCTTAACAGCACAGAACCAACGTCTATAAGCCTTTACAGACCTAGAGGAAAGAAACAGGGTATTGTCAAATACACAAACAGCAATATTAATAACAATAATAATAATAATCTATGTTTGTTGTGTTTGTGTGTGCCATTTCACAGGCTGTGAATTATGAGGACGTGAAACGGCTTGACCTGGGAATATCTTTGAGAAACAAGGCTCCGCTATATGATGGAACAGAGTCAAATGCTAACATTGGTATACATTTGGGACCAAATGATGCAACTGGTGCAACTGGTGCCAGCGGTGCCAGCGGTGCTAGTGGTGCCAGTGGTGCCAGCGGTGCTAGTGGTGCAAGCGCCCCTAAGACTTATCCCATCACAATCAATGTGAAAAATCAGCCTGAGGGCCCAGGTTTTGATCCCAAAGTCAAAGCTATTCCCATCTCAGAGGGAGGCACCACCAACATTAATGATGTTATTGCCCGCTACCCTGCAATAGATGGAGACACTGGGAAACCAGCTGAGAATGTCAGGTCAGTGCTTACACAAACACATTAAAGTCTCTGCAGCTACAACTACAGTGTCAGCTTCATTTTCTACATTCAGTGATAACAATGGACAAACCTTATTTCTGCTGTAGGTATGCCAAAGGATCAGACCCTGACAACTGGCTAACCATCGATCCAGAAACAGCTGAGATCAAACTGAACAAGATGCCGGACAGAGAATCTCCATTCCTGGTCAATGGGACATATTTCGCCAAAGTTCTGTGCATTACAGAAGGTACACTCTTGCCCTATGTGTCTGCTCCAGCTTCCGATGTTGTAACATCAACTAGTGTTGCTTTAGTCAACGAAAATTATGACTAAATATCGTCGTCAACGAACCTTTATCACGTGACGGAAACGAGACGCGATGCAACGTAAATGGTGGTCATGTGACGAAAACTATAATCAAATATATAATGCAATATTGTTGACGAATAAAAACGGGACTAAATGTGGTTTGCAAAATAAAAAACTGCTAAAATATCTCTTTATTTTCGTTGACCAAAAATATTTCTGTTTCCTGAGTGCGCAGACGCAGGCGGCGTCACTTCCTCAAGCGTTAACGCAGCTGCGGTGCGTAAACGTTAGTCACAGACAAACATTTTATTTGCACTTTTTTATTATGTCATTGTAGCTCGAGCATTCAAGCACCTTGTTTCTCTTTAAGTTAAGCTTGAATGTAATGTCAATTCTTTCTGGCATTGTCATTTGAAGCTATTTTATTTATTTAATTTAAATGTATGTGTGTGTACTTCTTACATGTTACATGTAAAATACATATGTTGTAAATTCAAATCAGAGTGTCTTCCGTGTCTGGAATTGAATGTATTCTTGAGTCTATAAGGTAACAATAATATAATAATAAGATAACCTTGTTTGAATTGTGAAATGGGTGACTTAAAGAAATTTTTGGTTTTGTCTTTACTATACTAGGTACTATATTAACTGGGTTAAATAGAATTGCATTACTAAAAAGAGACTAAAATACAATTTTCATCGACTAAAACTAGACGGAAATAGTCAAGGATAAAATAAGACTAAAATGCTCAGACTTTTAGTCGACTGAAACTTGACTAGACTAAAAAGTATAAACGTGACTAAAACTAATAAAAACTAAAATGACAGTTTGACACAAACACTAGACTAAAACTAAAATTAAAACAGGCCGCCAAAAACAACACTAACATCAACACATATCCTGTAAGTTGCTAACATCTGTACACTACTGTACACCGGCTGTTTGTGATCATTAACACAGACAGATTGAATACATAAAGGAAATAATTTGCTTCACTTCAAATTTGAGAGCACCAATAGGTCCCAGCTCTAACAGGGCAAACAGTTGTGTACACCTGTTGTTCACCAGCAGAGGGAGTAAAGTATCTGAATTTGAGTGGAGTGGAAATCAGAACTAAGGAAATGCTTTATGATCTGTTCTTATTTCTGTTTTTCCAATACAGATATGCCCGCTAAAACAGTTACCGGCACCATAGCCATCCAGGTGGAAGATTTTAATGACCATTGCCCCACCCTGACCAGTAACAACATCCAGACTATGTGTACCACGGGTGATTCTGTTATTGTGAATGCCGAAGATAAGGATGTTTACCCTAACGGACCTCCTTTTCGCTATACCATCATCCCAGAGGGCACGGTGGGCAAATGGAAGGTGGAGCCTCTCAATGGTAAGGAGAACACTGACAATTATTTAAGTTAAGATACACAATACCAGAGTATGACCTGTTGATCCTGTTTGTAGATAGTGAACTACGAGAATGTCTGGAAAATTCTTTTTAAATTTGGAAAAGCCAGATTGAAGCTGGAGTATTTAATCCAGAATACTGTTAAAGCAGTATAGCATATTGATTTTCTACACTTCTCATATGTTCATCTCATTGCCGGCAGACACTGCCATTATACTGAGAGCCCAGGAGTCCATGTGGCCTGGTTCCTACGAGGTGCAATTTAAGGTGACGGACGTGCAGGGAGTGGCCTGTCCAGAACCACAGAAAGTGGAGGTCAAGGTTTGTACGTGTGAGGATGGAGTGCTGTGTGGACAACGAGGCGCCAATGGTCAGTCCAGCAAAGGAGCAGATTTCGGACCTGCAGGCATCGGACTGCTACTCCTGGGCCTGCTGCTTTTACTACGTAAGTATGATGTGATAATCTGGTGAAGTGACACCTTTGATGTGCTCAAAACAGTTTAGGCCCAATAATTATTCTAAATACACTGGATAATCAATGTAAAGCCTTTCGAGGACTGAACATGATAGACACAAAACATGAATAGTCAGCAATGCCATGTAGATAGTAAACACAGGTGTATCAGATGGATAGGCCTGATATGCAGGAAATTAATTTGCAATGTGGAATGGTTGCCGTCCTATTAAATATTCATTAGAATCAGAATTAAGTTTATTGTCAAGTAGGTTCTCACATAGAAGGATTTTTTGGTTTATTGGGGCATAACAATGACAAAATCAATAAAAAAAAAAAAAAAAAAAACGTTTTGTTTGTTTGATTAACACTCAAAATGCTTTGTATTTGGAAGCTCTATATTGAAATGACCACACCTGTTGCACAAAACTGTGTGTTTTTGTAGGATTCCATCACTCACAGTCAGAGGCTGATTATTAAAATGAGTGAGAAAAATAGGATTACATGTCATTTTAAATTCTCCAACAGCAACAAGGAACCAGTAGTTGTAGTGGGAAATTAATCAGATCACAGCCCAGGTTTTCAGATCAATTCTGAGAACTCGTTAGGTGTAATTGTGGGTCTGACCAGCAGGTGGCAATCGTCAAATCTGACAATACACTCAAGACTGACAGAAACAACTTATGTTTAACCACATAACCCCATTGTATTGTAGTAAACTGAAACTGCACCTCCTTTTCTGGAGGACCACAGCATCCTTGCTGTCCCTACATCACAATTTGGGATGATTTAAGTCAGACAAAACCGTTGCTGTTGTTGTTTTTACAGTTATTCCTCTGTTGCTGCTCTCCTGCCAATGTGGGGGGGCTGCGGGGCTGCCAGGTGGCTTTACTGAGATGCCTTTTGACACCAAATCACACCTCATTAACTACCGCACCGAGGGCCAGGGAGAGAACACGGTAAGACCAACATATTTCCCTTTATAAACATATGTCAACCACTGTTGAGGACAGGAATACCACCATGCATACACTGGTTGCTTGCTGTTGAGATGTTGTCTACTTAGAAAGCTGCATGAAGTGATTTTTGACTCTGTTCTAACATTTGGATCACAAGGAGGTGCCACTCATGAACATGCCAACAATTGTGGGAGGAGATATGGTCAACATGGATATGGGCAAGGCCAACAATTTTTCAGCAATGCCAATAGCAGGTTTCCAGGCTTCCATTGATGGGATGAATGGGGCCATCTATCAAGATGGGATTTCAAGTGGCTACAGAGAAGGGACATGGGGGATGATGAACCAGGTGCGCAGCAATGGCTTCTACGCTGAGGGCAAAGAATCAGGAGTAGCTGTAGGGCTTTATGACAGCATGGCCCTGCCAAACCACTTCCTGGGACAGTACTACTCTCAGGTGAGAATTCATTTAAATAATTCTACTCTTTGCTTTCTGTAACCCATAGTGCTTAGGATTTGTCATCCTGGACATCATTATTTTGAGGGTTCTCAAATGTTCGAAAAAAACAAATCAAACTGGATAAAATAGGTATAGCTGGAAATAACTGTTTGCGATAACAGTTCAACAACAAAATTGCGCTGGGTTCTTGTCCTACCTATTTTATTTTTTTATTCTTAAGAAGCTTTGAAGAACATGTCCTTGGAAACCATTGTTTCACACTAGGAGGACAGGCATTAGTTTGTGATGTTATGTGAACATGCACGTGCCCCTGCTGTTTCTATTGACTGACAATGGTATTTTTGTCTTTTTCTATTTTAACTTGAGTTAGTTAAAGTAGCAAAAAGGACATTTTATTTTGTGTTAATTCTGGGGTAGTGTTTCTGCCACCTTGTTTTATTGATTTCAAGGGGGAAGGGAGTCTGACTTGGTAGGGGGTTTTAAGAATAACTATAAAAAGAGCCAATGTTTCTGTGGGTCTTATAGAGGCAGTATTAAATCTAAACTGTTTCATAAACAGTTTAACATTCATTTAGTGATGATTTCCTTTTCTCTTTTAACAGAAGGTGAACAGTGGAAATGAGAACCTTGGAGTTAAGGATGGTCTCTTGGTTTATGACTATGAGGGTCAGGGCTCCTCTGCTGGCTCAGTGGGCTGCTGCAGCCTCCTGGAGTCTGACAACAACCTGCAGTTCCTCGAGGACCTCGGGCCAAAGTTCAAGACCCTGGCTGAAGTATGCGGAGGCAAGAAGATCCCAGCTGAAGTCAAACCAATGTTCACTCCTCTACCCAGTGCCTCTATCAACACTCAGAGCTCAGTATCAAGTGTGGTGAAAGCCCAACAGCTGCCCCCTCCACCCCAGCGGCAGCCAACCATTGCCAAAACAGAGCAGACTGTGTTCAGGGAGACATCTGAGAGTTCCCAGGTGGTGAAGGAAAGCAAAGCAACAATGAGAGAAGGGATGACCACAGTGAAGGAAGGGATGACAAATGAAGGCCAGATGTTCCTGCTACAGCAGCAGCAGCCTGTCTACTACACCACCACCCCTGTGATGCAGCCGATGCAATATGTAGTCCAGCCACAAGTTCAGAACACTGTGCTTCTGGCTGAGGCACCATCCACCAACATGCAGGGCATGGTATTGCTTAATGGCACCCAGACCGGACCTGCCCAAGGTGTGGTTGTTCAGGGACAGATGATGTCTAGTGGACAAGTCCAGGGCCCCGGTATGATGCTGGTGGAGAGGAGCGGTATCCAGGAGGCCAGTGCCAACCGGATCCACGCTGGCAACCTCTCTGGTTCCCAGACCATGATGGTCGTGGAGGGCAAGGTCCCTACAGGGTCACTGAAAGCACTGAAGGGGAGCCAAACTAGCTTCATGCAGGGGGGCACTTTACCGCCAGGAGGGCTTTCAGGATCTCAGAGAGTCCTGGTGGTCAGAGGGCCAATAAGCAGCGGAGGGCAGCTGGTCCAGGAGGCAGGAGGTCTGTCTCAAAAGAGTGTAGTATCTGCTTCTCAAAGAGACCTCAAGGGCAACACATCCTCAGGGTCTCAGAGCAATTTGGTTGCTTCATCTACTACCACACTGAGCACAACCCCCACATACCGCAAGGTGGTGGTTCAGGAGACAAAAGAAATTCACTGAATTACACTGTCAGGACAACTGAGAACCTTTTGAGTGATGCCAATAAAACTTTTTCGCTGGCTTGTTCCAGGTGGTGATGGGATGCTTGTGGGACTCAATAAATGCAAGACAGATAATGAGGAGAGGACAAGTTCCCCATACTCCCTTTTTAAATTTGTCAATACAATTCTCAAAGAAAGGTTTGTCAATCCCAGGCTCCCCAGTGCCCTCCCAAAGTTCCGTGGGAAGAAGCAACATTACTGTTAATGGCCATTACTTCAACAAAGGGAGGGGGAAATAAATACATTGAATATAAACACCAAAAAGGAATAATAATAACGGTAAGCTGACAGCCCAAAACTATCCCAGCTTACCTATCTATTGACTATTGACCTACGTTTATACTGCTATGGACTTGACTTGGGCATAAAGAAATGCAGCATAGCTATCCTTTTTTTAAATGTCTTACGTACAAATGCTACAAATAAGTAGTATAGTTTTGCCTTGTTTATCTCCACCTCTCACTGCAGTGACAGAATGTTACACACATTCATGTTCAGTATACAATTAGGATATCCTCATGTTATGTTTTATGTAGTGTCCTGCTCTATGATCTCGTGTCATGTATCTTAGTTATATGCTGCCTGTTTGTTGTTTTGCACCAATTAAAATGTTAATATAAAAAGTATTTTGTACTAATAGGCTTATATCCTACTTCCAAATAGGGGTACAAGACAGGGAAACTTACTCTCGCCATGTATATACCTTATACCTGCTCTATTTGAAAAGTGTCCTGAGATAACTTCTGTTATGAATTGGCGCTATACAAATAAAATTGAGCTGAATTGAATTGAATTGAATTATAGTCAGGATTATGCTCTTGCTGCAGCTATCAGATGGAATATACATTGTCTTGGAGTTCATGTCAGCTATCCAAATGACAATAAAAATACTTTGGTAAAACTGTCCTGTGTTGTCCTCTGTACAATAATCCCCTTTTAAAAAAAGAACTGTTCAGATATTGACAGATCTTCCTTACATTTGACAATGTGGGGTCAAGTAATTAAGTGAGTAATTAAGTGATTAAGAGTGTTCTTTCTATTTCATGATATCTTACAGTCAACAGACTTTGTTTGGACTGAAATAGTCCTAAATAATTTTTAGAAAAAAAAAAAAAGGATCTCTTCTCCTAAAGATTTAAGACTTAAGTTATAGAACTAAAGGATGACTCTGGTTTATGACAACCTTTTTTTGAAATCTTTTACTCTTGTTTTTACTGTTGTTCTAACCAAAGCAATTGCTGAGAACCTCATACACAATGACAACACATTGTACACTGGCTGTCAAACCAAGTTTGGCCGCACCCTGAATGGGAATAGTTCCTCATTCTACAGGTTACACTGTGCACTGTGGTGGTGTAGTGTGGCTGTAAAAACTTGTTCAGATTTTATCCCAGAAGCAGCAGGTGTGGGTGGGGGAAGTGAACTAGCAGCACATTAGCACTGCTGCTGAGGTTCCGTTTAGCATGGCGACTAACCCTCAGCTGCTGCTGCAGGGCTTATCATTGGTAGGTCTGAGGATGTACTGAACACCTCCCAGGAGTAAATGTGATCAGCTGTGTAGGTGTGGTGCTGGGGGCTCCTGACAAAGGGCACTCAAAAATATACATTCATGCTTAAATAAAGATTAAATATATACAGTAAGATAATAATCTACATGAGAGTTGCATTTCATGTGACCCATCAAAATATGAATTATAATGACCTTGATGATGTTTGTCTGTTTGCGTGATGTGACACACTCGAACCGTCACTGAGGATCACATTAAACACCACATAACAACATAACAGTAGAATGATGCTCAGGGTGTGTTTCCGATTCTCCCTCAGGGTTGTTTAGTTGCTCAGTAAACATCACTGGACATGTCTAAGCTGTCTGTCTTTGTCTTGTGCGGGTGTGTCACTTTTGGTGCTTCAGGTCGGCAGCAGACATTTTTCTGCAGAACCTGTTTTCATCGAGAGAACACTGAATAGAAGAGCTCCACCCTAGTAGTCATAAGGGCTGAAAGAGACTGACTCAGATCTTTTCTGTTCTCACCAAACATCACAGTAAATGAGGAAAGGTGGCTCTGTGCTTGTTCTTCAAGTTCTGCTGGTTCATTATGATTACAGAGAGCAAGTGACAGTGTTATTCTCCCATCTGAACATCGCTGTTACTTTTCTTTTATGTGATATGTGATCATCGTGCATTTGTTTTGGGGGTCTTTGTTTGCTCTTTAAGCAACACAAATGAAATCCATCTTTGAGAAATGTGTCAGACAATGTGAAATTACACTGTCACAAATGTTTGGTTGTTATGTAACATTAAGCTGTTTATTATATTTCAGTAGAATGATGACTGAAGACTCTCACGGTATACACATTATGTTTTGGTAAGAAACACTGAATTTTACTTTAATTTGTTTACAAAAGAACTCTACAGCAGTGGTTTCCAAACTGGAGTCTGGGGTCCTTGAATGGGCTTTTGGGTGTGTAATGATCCCAGTTTGATCATTGATTGAGACTATAACAACCTCGTTCAGAGGAGGTTAACAAAATCCTCTCAAACTGGGGAGCCATGGTCTAATCTTATAGCTATTATGACCTTATGTACCACAGTTCTGTTAAGGAACAGGGAGTTCTTATTAATGTGCTGTTGACAAACAGGTCACGGAAAAAGAGAGTTCAATTCCAAGTTTCTCTTTTAAATTCTGACTGTTATACAAGTTCTGGTGTTTTTATCTACACAACACAGGCGCTATTTGCGTTGTATCCAATCAAATGTTTTTTCCCGTGCATGTGCCATATTGCTGAAGGCAACAACAGACAGGCACAAACACATCACCAGCACCACAACACAGCACACACACACACAAAACTATGAGTCACAGACAGACACACCTGCTCGTAACACCACGCCCTGCCTTTTTTGTGTCAACTACTATAATTATACAGCGCCACACAATATCTTTCCCTCTCAGTTCCCACTGGCACTGTAGCTTCAATCCAAATATGATGGTAATCCATGTGAATCCAAACCAAAACGTCACATGTGATCACAGAAACATAGCAGTCCATGAAAGTTGCTGCATACATGTATTTCATTAGTTCCAATTACTTTATTAAGATCTCATGTTGGTTAAGAGAAACAAACAGGTTACACCATCATCTGGGATATTTACAGTTAATGTTGATCAGTAAAGATGATCCTCGAAATGATTAAAAGCTGTCAAAGTTAGAAAGACAAGAAAGAGGCAGTGAGTAAAAATGCTTTAACATAAGAGACTAAAGAGACTGGATCGGGTCTCAATAATAGGAGCTGAGTGAACCTGTAAAGATCTTTAGCACATACGACACCAACAGTATATGTATTCAGAAGGGAAGCAGTGCTGAGATGTCAGACCCAGAACCAGAACCAGGAAAAGGCCTCTTCAGCCACTTCCAATTCACCAAGAGACATACGAATTGTCCCAAAGTCAAGCTATAACACACATCACACAAACATGTGGAACAACCGGATGGATGCTGGGCACTTAAAAAGAGGTATACATATAGTATAGTATAGTTTGTATATTTCTCACATAATCTACCAAAGGAAAATGTCCGAAAGCAATCATTAGCTTATGGTTAAGGACTCGCTGTTTTATCAGGATTTGTGGAGGGAGTACTGAGAGAACACCACTACAGGTCCACACATATATACACTGGTCAGTTTCAGCACCTAAAATGAAGTATATCCAGCTTTTCCTATGTGATAGTAAAGTGAATATCTGGGTTTAGAACATTTGGTCAAACTGTTGGTGAAGTGGGGTGACTTTCAAACATTTCGATCCCTTAACAAGAGATTGTGGACCGATCCATGCTGCCATCGTTCAAAACAAGTACTGATTATAGATAGATAGATAGATAGATAGATAGATAGATAGATAGATAGATAGATAGATAGATAGATAGATAGATAGATAGATAGATAGATAGATAGATAGATAGATAGATAGATAGATAGATAGATAGATAGATAGATAGATAGATATACTTTATTGATCCCAAGCTGGGAAATTGCAGTGTAGCAGCAGCATTATACACAGTAACAACACACAGACATAAAAAAAAGCAATATAAAATGCAATGTAAAAAAAAATTATAAAAAAATGTATAACTAAGCGGTCTAATTGTAGTGCAAAGTAAAAATATAAGGTGCAGTGAACGGATAAAACATATAAGGTGCTTGGAGACTGTATTAGCTGGAGCTGGAGCAGCCTGCGAGAGAAGGTCATTGTCTATGATGGATAACAGTTTATTCAGCGTTCTCCTCTCCACCACTGACTGAAAAGACTCCAGCCTGAGACCAAGTACACATTTTATCAAGTCTATTGGACACCTGGCTCTGATGATCTGTTAGTTAGAAATGTATCCTTGCTACTGGTCCTGTAGCACATGGACAGGAAGTCTACCACTTTACACACTTTACCAGTGAGGTTAGAGGGCTGCTGCAGGTGACAGAACAGGATAATCACATTATATCAGGGTGTCATTGTGACGCAAATCAGAAAAGGATTAACCCAAACAGATGTACATTGTTGGACTAAACTCAGAGTTACTCATAGTCTTCTCTGGGTGTGTCACCGTCAGCAGTCACACATATCTAACTTTCCTCCTCTCACAATGTTGGGAACAACTTTCACTGTGTCTGTAGAGGTGTTTGAGGCTGGAGAGGCTTGTAAGGACAGGAACATGGCAAGATGTGAAATGTTCAAATGTCAATTTGGCAGACAGGTTATCTGTTCTAACAAATCCAGACCTGCATTTATATCCACCTGTGGTTTTGTGTGTTTGCCTGTTTGACACATAGGTAAGACAGTGAGTCAATGTGGCGCTGATGGGATTGACATTGGAGAGTAACAGTTAAAACTGTTCAATCAGTTCATAACATCATATTTATCATTTTTGTAATAGGTCAGTGTGAGATCAAGGCAACACAAAATGGTCCTGCATCATAACAGGTCTATTTTGCAATAAGTTTAAGTTTAAGTTTGCTGTACATTATCCCCTCCTTAGTACGCCTACCAGGCCTAACCATATTTGCTGCTGAATAAACTAGCACTAATGAGGAAAATAGCCTACATCTCAAATATTGCAATGAAAGACAAAATGCAATGTTCAGTTAAGGTTTGACCCTGTAACAGTAATTTAAAAATAACATGAAGTCTTGTCCAGAAGCAAACACTGCAACAGCTTAAGATAACATAAGATAAGATATCCCCCTTAGGAGAAATTCAGGTTGATGCAGCAGCAATAGGGCAAAGTAGTGCAAAAACAGAGAACAAAGAATATCACAATAAAAATATTACTAATATTATTAATATTAGAAGATATAAAATTATAAATTAAAGTATATACACTATGCAAAATAATCCAAAATATGAGCAGAAAATTAAACTTGACTAAAACTAAAAAACTAAAACTAAACTAAAACTACTAAACTACTAAAGTGGAAATTAAATATAAATAGTGCAAATGGTTTGTGTGTTGTAGGTGGGAGTTTTAAACCAGTCTTTGTCAGCTGGGGTTGGAGGTACTGGGTGCTGTGGTTTTGTGGAGTCTGATGGCAGATGGTGCAAACGAGCCTCCAAACCACTTCCACCGAGCTGCCTGAGCTCAGTGTAGAGAGGATGAGAGGGGTCGTCCATGATGGCTTTCAGCTTCCCTTTCATCCTCTTCTCCGTCACAGCCTCCACACTGTCCAGCTCCATCCCCACCACTGAGCTGGGCTTCCTCACCAGCTTGCTAAGCTTGTTGGCACCCCCAGTGCCGATGCCTCCCCCCCAACAGTGCAAGAGCCGAGTGCAAACGTTGAATGACCTGAGCCTCCTCAGAAAGAACAGTCTGCTCTGTCCTTTCCTGTAGAGGGCCTCAGTGTGATCTGATCAGTCCAGTTTATTGTTGAGTGTCACCCCCAGGAACTTGTAGGTGTCCACCTTCTCTACCTTCTACCCCCTAATCTCAACAGAGCTGTAGGTGGTTCCTGTCACACCATCCAATGAAGTTCTCATTCAGGTCTCTTTTATATATATTTATTTATTTTTTCTCGTTAGGCTACTAAACATCTAGTTGCTAAACATCCGCATATTAGCTAATAGTTTTGTCCTATTTTAGACCTAGGAGTATTAAACAAATAACTATGAACTCTCAAGTTTAAAATGCATCCAGGCAGCTGCTGAGTGAGATTGGGAACTACTAAATGTAGAGAATTGTATAAAAAGTGTCTGTTCAAAATGAATCCAAATCTATTCAGTTCAATTTTATTTGTATAGCGCCAATTTATAACAAAAGTAAAGGAAAAACTGCCTTTTAAGAGGCAGAAACCTAGGACAGACCCCTGCTCTAGGTGGGTTAGTCTGCCTTACCCGGTGGGGTGAAAGAAAGAGACAGAGAGAGAGAGAGATGAAGACAGAAGGACAGAAACAGAGACAAATGTGCACAGCAACAACACGAGCAACAACTACACTAATAGTAGTGACTGATGGTAATGATGATGAATAACTTGTTTTACACAAGTTACTGAGTTCACTGTTTGAGTTAGTTGTACAGTTTTGAATATAATCTGAAATATCTATAAAAATATGTCACGTAGTCAGGCGTCTCTGACAATAATGCTGTATATGGGCCAGATTCGGGCCATGGAACCGGGCATATACTGGGCCAGAAGAACCACAAACATGTGGCCAAAGTATGGGCCAGATTATTTTTTTCTATCTGGGTAGCTCGGTCCCTGGCAGACATATTGAACACTGGTGTAACTCATTAATGACGGCTACGTTCCGACCAGGTGTGGTAGCCCTTCGATACTATTCACCATGACACACATGACACATGACTGACTAGAACTTACTGGAACACGATGATGGTAATATTACGTAGGCTTATACTACAGCGATAGGTCAAAATAAATGTGTAAGTGTATATATCTTTAACATTCTCCTTTTTTTATTTCTTTTTAAATGACATTAAAGACACAGTTTGTCGGTATGGATGAAAGGTTGAATGTAGCGGTAGTACCTACAACCACACCCACAGAGAGACTGTGTCCCTATCCTGAGGGTGTGTGATGTGGAGCACACCTCCTCTTTCAAAAACCTCCTCCTCGGCTCCATAAGCTCACAGTCTGTAAGGAATTCTCCAACAGACCATCAGGAATCTAAGAGTTTACTGGATACACATACCAGGACCTTTCCAGCTATGAGTCGGGTTTCCCCACCCGTGTTTGTGTTGCTGCTGTTTGCAGTGAGTACAAGGAGTTTCCTCTCTTTTTTAACTGCTGTTATTTTCTGCTGTTACAGACTGGATGTTTTACCTGTCATGTTCATTCTCAATACTACCTGATTGTCTATTCTGTTTCTATGGAGGTCTGAACTAGAACATTTAAATATCTGTTTCTTTTATTTGTTAATGGTTGTAATAGACATTAGCTGTAAAGGGAATTCAGTTCTGGCACAACTAGAGTGAGCAGCTTGTTATCATACAGCGTTTTCAGACATTCTGAATAAACTAAGCTTTTAAATCAACCAGTCCAAGTCATATTGTCCTGATGACACGCTGAATTTGTGTCTACTCCCAGACATCCTAGGCAAATTATCTTCTCTATGTTGGCCATAACAAATACCTGGTTGCCATGGCAACACCAATCCAATCATAAAGGGGTATGTTGAGTCATCAGTCTAGAAAAACTGAACCCTCACAGCTCTGCAGTGAATCTTATTTTTTACTAAAAACAGTGCATGATGATTTCACTTTAACAGGTCTTATCAATTTATAGATCATAGATTATATGGTCAGTGTGTGTATGGATGATAAAAATGTTAAACATTGAGGTACCTCAAGATAGACCTGAAACTATCTTTAAGCATAATAAGCCTACTCTGAGGCTCGTTCGTTGAGCTTTCGTTGTACATTATTTTGGTGGTTCTTTTCAAATATATTTTAGTTGGGTTGTACAACAAATTGCATATTACAGTTTGTTACAAAGATCCAATGCAATTACTGACTAAGACTTTTTGGTTCTAGCTGAATTTTGTGGGTAAACTCTTTATCAAGAATTCAGCAGGCAATTTCAACCAAAACAGCCAGAACAGCATTTCCATTGCGCAAGCCAGCCGTAATTAGACTGACTGACCACAGAAATGTTCCTTATTTTACTTTCTTGTGGTGTTGCTGACATAATCCGAGACCTATTTCAGATTGAACAGTTATGGGTTTATGGGTTGGCGTCGATGTTTAGCACTCTTTAGCGCACAAGAATTGGGATTGCAGACTCAAAATAACGTGGAATAGAGAGAAGGATAACAATGACCTCAGAGATATTTCTCAGATGAATAATGAAGACCAATAGTTCCTATCATTACTGTCAGTTGTTTGTGCTCAGTGTTTTTTCATACATGTGATGTCCCTCCCTGGCAAGTCTTACTTCTTCTTTCTCACTAAAACATGTGTTGCCACTTCCTTCTCATTTTCTCATTACACGCAGCTTATCCTATTATCCTGACATGCCCATGCTTTGACTGAAAGGCTTAGCTGAATTTCAAAGGAGTGGTGGATAGGGTGTGTCAGCCTGTCCTCAATACCTTGAAGGACCAATGTTAAAAGACTGGTGTGTGGCATCTAGAGGTGAAGTTACAGATTGCAACCAACTGACTCCCGCATGCCGTCCAAATGTGTCAGAGAAACTGCGTTGGCCGCGAAACTTATGAAAATAGCCCTATCTAGAGCCGTAGAAGAGGACCCGCTCCCTCTCTAGATAAAAACAGCCACTTTTATACTAAGGTAACGAAAACAACGATTCCTTTTTCCAGGGGATTATACACTAATGAAAGATACCTTTTCATCATACTGATATAATAACGAGAATTCCGGTGGAAAAAAAACACCTTCTTGTCTGCCTCCTACACTGTGTTCCAAATTATTATGCATATACTGTTTTTGTTCTTTTTCTTACTAAATAGTCGATATAATTGGCAGTCAATAGGACTTTTTATTCCTCAACAATTATATCGTAATCTGGATTTTATTAAACACAATTACCAATGATGACAATGGCATTTTTAAAAAAACTAAAAAAAGAGGGTTAAAAAATAATAAGGAAAAAAAGAGTAAAAAAAAAAAAAATTAAAAAAAAAAAAAAAAAAAAATTTTGCAGGGGAAAGCCAAAAAAGCATCCAATCAAAAACATAACTCAAAATGCAGTGTTCCAAATTATTATGGAAAACAGAGTTCCAAAACACACAGTTTCTAAAGGACTCTTTCTCCCTTAATGCCCATAGCAACCTAGGCCTCAATGGTATTTGTTGCAGCATGGGATGGTGCGTTGTCTTACATGAAAGGCATGGTTCTTCTTTTTATACCATGGCAGGAAATGGGCAGTTAGGAACTCCACATATTTTGCAGGTCTTTTTGACACCTTCAGGCACCTTAAAGGGGACTACCAACTCACTTCCCATGATTCCAGCCCAAAACATTCCTCCAACACTTTGCTGATGTCGCAGCCTTGTTGGGACATGGTGGCCATGCAGAACTCCATCCATCTGGACCATCCAGTGTAGCACGGCATACATCAGTGAATAAAACTGTTATCTGAACGAACCTGTCTGCGCTCTGGATCAGACACAAATCTTTTCACAGGACGATGATCTCTCTTAATATTTCATAAAATATCCAGTGGTTTCATACCTATTGAAAGATACTGCACTATTTTACGCTTTTCATCTGCAGAAAGATCTTTTTTCGCCATATTGCATGAATGATTGCTTAATAATGTGGAACAACATCCTTAAGTAGTTTCCCATTAATTAGGCTCACCTGGCAAACTAACAAAGACATGGGAAGCAGCACAATTGAAAACAAAAGTACGATTCAATAGGACGACGAAAATGTGGTACAGCGTAATAAGCTGCATAGCCCCTTTTTCATGTCGAGACCCACTCAATAGATGCACATAAAACAGCCAGCCCTGCTTCTTTTGTAGTTGTTTCAACTTCCAGAAAATTAGATTAAAGTTAGAATAATCCATTCCTCCTTTTTCTGGGGACCTCCTACAACCCACCCTGTGTTGGTTCTCAGACAGGAGTTTAAAGACACTGGTGTAACCTGTAAATTAACTGCTCCAAAAGTGCTTTGAAAAGCAGCTAATCAAGGCTCATTCTATTTGACTCTTATTCTGCTCTCTAGCAGACTTCACTATTGGTTAAACACATCTTCCATTTCCATGTTTGGTAAAAGGGGTGTTATCATGTTCAACAAGGGTGCTATTGTTGACTAGCCATAATTGTTGGCTCTTACAACTCTTCTCACCATTTTGCACGCAATTCCTCTGGTATTTTTTGCCCATACAGCAACAAACACAAGAACAGGCAACAGTCAGCTCTAACTGAATGATAGGTCCGCCGCACCCTCTTTCTCAGACTGGCAGGTCGGATTTCAGCTTAACTACGTAATGAGATCTGCAGCAGGAAGTGAATGCCTCTCTTTATTTACATAGATGTAATGCAAAAGTTCAGACCTCTCCTCAGGGCTGTCTGGGCATGTACAAACTGCGCTCGACTGACATCTTGCCGACTATTCCATGTTTGTTTTGTTCTTGTTGGAACGAGACACCTTACAGATTTTATTCTTTAATTGACCACAGCTCTTTTTACACATAGCTCCACCATCTTCAAACTGCTTAGAGCTTGTATCAGCCAGAATAACAGGATGAGTTTATGACCCGGACACAACTGAGACTCTTTTCTTGATGCAAAATTGATGCCTGTAATAAGAGGACTACAAGACTTGGTTGCCTGTATTTGCTGATGATTTATTAGCAAACAGTAAATTGTGCTGTCTAACTACACATAATATCCTCCAATCGCACTGTTATAGGTACCTGATAAGACTTTACAGGTTAGCTGGCGCCACAATCCTTAGCTCTCTAAGACAGCGACACTGGTAACAACAACAACTCTCTGACAATCACTTCTGATGTCAGTCTGTGGACGCAGTATGCATGCAATATTCATCAATCCCAAGCTGGCATGTCATTCACTAATGCTAATATGAAATGTTATGAAAAAATATAGGATAGTATACATTCTCAGCTGTTTTCAGTTCTGTGGTTTTATTTTTGATATGTAGTATCAATGGTCTGTTGTGAACAGCTATTTTCTCTACCCTCATGTTGGCACAGAAATAGAAGATTAAAAATACAACATAGCCGAATCAGGTTTGGTGGCTGACCTGAAAAATGCCCCAAACTGGATTCCTGACAATGTAATCTGTAGCAGTAATTTAGTCTGAGTCAATTAAATAAAGTCTAGACTACTGAGTCTACAAGTTCTGCTCCTTTTTGCACTGTGTGCCAATCACAGTTGAGCAAGCCTCCTTTCCTGTACTTCGATATGCTATGTGCTAGTAGGGTGGCCATTTCCTTCACATCAAAAAGGAGGACACTTTGCATACACCGGGACATGCAAGCAGATATTTGTTTGGTATGATCCGGTTTTAAATTTTGATGTTTTTCCACCAGATTACATAAAGGTGCATACACATACCACATAGCTAATAATAAATATACAAGATACAGCTCATGACAACGTGCCCTTCCAATTCAGATTACATAGGTCTAATAAACATCATACAGAAACTGTTCTTAACGTTTTTATCTGGATAGATAAAGGGTAAACAAATACAGCAGATTTTTATAGGCTTTTCCTATCTACATCTGGGTATGAGCATTTTCAGAATTTCAGTCCAACAACCGACGTTAGCTCCCGTTACGTTCTCTGTCGCTGAGAGTTTGATTGACAGCCTGGTGGTAGCAACTGCAGTGATCTTGTGGCAAATCAACACATGGCTCATTTGAATATTAACATTAGCCATGTGTTGATAGGTCAGGACAGGAAAATGTAACCAATGAAATGACTTATTTTGACACACATTTTTAGCCAATAAGTATTAAACTAAGAAGGTAATGTGTCAAAAGGCGACCTTTTTAGTTATTTTCTCAAAAGGAGGACAAATGAGTGTCAGGCTTAAGGCTGTGCCTGCAGCGGGACAGGGCCTTTAAAAACCGGACTGTCCGGCCCAAAGCCGGACGAATGGCCACCCTATGTGCTAGGCTAATCTATGTTGAAAAGACAACCACATTTTGGTTAAATGGTTGAAAGATAAAAGCAACATATAGTCACATCACGTTAGCTAGCTAATGTTTGGAAAAGTCTAGCTAACTGTCTAGCTAATCTACCTAAATCATTAGCTAGCTAGTTAGCACATTTACATCAATTGTTAGTTAGCTAGTTAACATTCAGGAGAATGAGTGCATGCGCCATAGAAAGTTTTAGTCGTCATTGTTTCCGAGCTTTCTCCCAAGGCGCACATTTTGTATTTATTTTTCATATACTTTTATCCCATGCTGGGATATCTGGTATGCCAACCTTAAGTGATATGCAGCTGACTTTACATGTCTGGACCATAGAATCTGTCAAGTAAAGGTTCACTGTGAAGTAATTCCATCTGTTGTATTACATCTCCAGGCTGTTGCTGTTGTGAAGGCCATTTGGATTCCCCCGAGGAAACCACTGGAGGAAAATAAAGACTACTCTAAAGTGGAATCTGTTGCCAGGGTGAGTTATTGGTCATTAATGCTACCCATTAACTTTCACTCTGAATAAAGTTCCAGAATAAAAAGTTACCTTTTAGCTGATAACCTGTAAAGAAAAAGTAGTACAATGTAACTTCTAGCATACAGAGGGGATATGTGGCCGAAGAAGCCCTTCAAGTTCCCCAATCATTGCTCCAGTGTCACTGAATCCACATTTCTTGATTTTAAAACTGATAGGATATGCAACTCTAACACTACATTTGTGGTAGATCATCCAGAAACATCTCCTGTAGCTAAGTTGTATCTAAGGTTCCCCCTATTTACATTTCCATTGCATTAGAAGCTTATGGGATGGTAATGATTATTCCGGTTATTAGTCAAACCCTCGGCTGTTACCAGGGAAATGGAGTTATGGCTTGTAAAAAACTTTAATTCTTTATTGCAAAATGAATGAAAATATAAAACAATGATCATATTTGTTTTTCTTTGGCAATTGACCATGGTATTATTTCATATCAACTTTAGCAATAGGTCAGCTTACCATCCCTCTGTACACAGTATGCTTACCCTTAGCAGGGAAAGGAAAGTCCTGCACACACATTTCAAATGACATATCCACAAAAATCAGTTTCACAATTCTTCAGCAGAGTTTCTAACTTAGGAGTCTGCTGTAACAAATAAAAAAACAAAATAAGTTACCAGAGGGCCAGAGGGACCACTGGAACATTGTCAGCATCCTCAAGAAAGGGTGGAGTATCCAGACAGGTTGGAGAGATGGTAAAATATTTGAGGGGCGTACATTGATTAGCGTTCAACACAAAATGATGAAGAGTTTTTGGTATCTGGTGAAATGTTCAAACTTTGTAGCTAGCTAGCTTGTTTTTCCAGGTGCAAATGTTTTTTGTTGCTTCCTTCTGAAATGAATTAGAGTGTGTTTAGCTGAATCAGCTCTTCTCTGTGTTTCAGATTCGTTCAGATTTTGATAATGGCAATGGGAATATTATCTACTCTCTAGAAGGCGCTGGTGCAAGCCAGGCCCCCTTCCATGTGTTTGTAGTTGACCCTGTAACTGGATTTATTCGGGTGACCAAAACTCTTGACAGAGAGTTCATCTCTATGTACAATGTAAGTGATACATGACAAATTCAGTTCTATTCCACTGTACTTTTTGACTCTGATGTCAGTTTTCTTTTGCTGAGATTGCTACTTTTGATATCTAATATTGAGATTGAAGAAAGATGATGAAGACATCAACATCTGAGTTTTCTGTTTCAGCTGTCAGGTGTTGCTATGTACAAAGATGGAACGAAGGCAGAGGATGACGTTAGCATACAATTCAAGGTTATAGATGTTAACGACAACTCTCCAGTGTTTGGAATCATAGAGCCCGGGGAGGTGAATGAGCTCAGTGCTGTAGGTTAGTGTTTCTGCTTTTGTGTTCTCACCAATGTCTGTCCTGTTAAGTGATGGGAAAGCAAACCTTAGATAATTAATCAAACAAGACAGTTTTTCCTTGTTGTTCATATTTTATGTTTACATTCAGTGTCAAAAGCAATTAAAGTATTCTGAAATCTAAAGCCATTTTTTAAAATCTTGCATCCATATTTACCTGCCAGCAGTCTTATTCTCTCAAACTTTGTGCATTGCTGTGTTTTTTGGCCCATCACTGCCACCTGTCCATCATGGGAATACTATGCAACCACTGGCCACTATTTTATAAGAAAAGAAATGCACTCCACACATTTCCCTGGCCTCAAGGATGACTGTTTAATTTAAGGCTATTATTCACAGGGACTACAGTTATGAAAGTAACTGCAACTGATGCTGATGAACCAGGCAATGAGAACTCTAAGATTGCTTATACCATCATAAATCAGAGTCCAAATCATGACATGTTTGGAATAACAAAGGATGGGAACATCTACGTCAAAAATTCTTCCCTGGACAGAGAGGTATGGACTACACCAACACATCCTCATGGCTTATACCAATTCCAGCTAATGCTAATCCAATCAAATTACCAATCACGTTCTGTCAAGATGGTGTTCGCCAATGTACGTGTTTCTATTCTCACACTTGTGACTTTTATTAAAAACATATAATGGATCAACGGTGCCGGGGCTGGGTCTGTGGTGCTACCCGTTTCTTTTCCATTGTCACACAGTTTATCAGTATTTTTCATGTCTTTGTTTATATTCTGCAACGGATGTGACTTGAAGTGGAGTGTAGTGCAATACTTGTTCTAAAAAGCACCTAAAAAGCATGTACTTTCAACCCATGCCATGTTCTACTTTCAGGCAACAGATCAGTACACCCTAACGGTGAGAGGTCAAGACTTAGATGGTAAGCCAGAGGGAAACACCGGAACCGGCACTGTTATCATCAATGTCCGAGATGTGAATGACCACCTTCCCACTCTGGAAAAAGATTCGGTAATTTTCCATGAGGGTTTATAGAGCTACATGATTTCAATGTGTTCTTTTGAGGATAAAAGAAAATATGCTGACATGTTCATGTCAAACATCACACATTAAACTCAAATAAATGATAATCAACAAATGTTGAAACAAATACTGCTAAAAAGAGCCCTGTTACTTCAATCTCAATATGTTTTACTTGCAGTATGAGGGCAGCATTGAGGAGAACACACAAGGGGTGGAGGTGATGAGAATCAAAGCAGAGGACCTGGACCTGGAGGGCACTGACAACTGGGAAACCGTGTTTGACATTGTCAAAGGCAACGAGGCAGGGTACTTCAGCATCACAACAGACCCCAAAACCAACGAGGGTATCCTAATGCTCGACAAGGTACTGCTAAAACATCACTGTTACTGCAATTTTAATTGAAATAATATACTGCATATGTTGGCCCGTCAGTCTTTAGTAGAATAAATGTGGTAAAACAACAAATGAAAATAATATGACTGGAAAAGATAAGTAGAAACTCAAAAACAGTTTTACGGTGGAATGTTATTTGCTTTAAGTTGCCAGTAAGACAAAAAAAGTTACAGGGTCATGGGGTCAGTGTTAATTCTGACATTTCATTTTAGCCTATACTGGGGTTAAGGGTGGATTTAACATGCGCCATTAATTTAAGTATGTATGTATTTAAGGTGAATTGAAATACAAAATTAGGACATGAACCAGCTGTCATCATCCACAAAGTTGTGTCCACTAAAATCTAAGGTGTCTGGGGTCTGTTTGTAAGGAATATCCAGATGTTTTGAGGGATTTATTTAGAATGTAACCATGAAGAAAACTTAACCCTAACCATTAGATGTTTTAGCAGTCTACCCTTAACACAAACCAACCTCAAAGTGTTTATCCCGTCTACTTATCCACAATGCTTTTTATGTGTAGAACCAATGTAAATGACTGAAATATTACCTTAACATTAAGGATATCTGTTATTGTTACAATAATAATCTATGTTCATTGTGTTTGTGTGCCATTATATAGGCTGTGAATTATGAGGATGTGAAGGATCTTGAACTGGGACTAGCTCTGAGAAACAAGGCTCCACTATATGATGGATCTGCGTCAAATTCTGAATTTGGCATAAGTTTCGGAGGGGGAGCAGGTGGAGGAGGTGGAGCAGGTGGTTCAGGTGGTTCAGGTGGAGCAGCTGGGGCTGGAGGGGCAGGAGGGGGAGCAACTGGAGCAAGTGGTGGTGGTGGGGGAGGAGGGGGAGCAAGTGGTGGTGGTGGGGGAGGTGGGTCTGGAGGATCATCATGGACCACATCTAAGACTTATCCCATCAAAATCAATGTGAAAAATCAGCCTGAGGGCCCAGGTTTTGATCCCAAAGTCAAAGCTATTCCCATCTCAGAGGGAGGCACCACCAACATTAATGATGTTATTGCCCGCTACCCTGCAATAGATGGAGACACTGGGAAACCAGCTGAGAATGTCAGGTCAGTGCTTACACAAACACATTAAAGTCTCTGCAGCTACAACTACAGTGTCAGCTTCATTTTCTACATTCAGTGATAACAATGGACAAACCTTATTTCTGCTGTAGGTATGCCAAAGGATCAGACCCTGACAACTGGCTAACCATCGATCCAGAAACAGCTGAGATCAAACTGAACAAGATGCCGGACAGAGAATCTCCATTCCTGGTCAATGGGACATATTTCGCCAAAGTTCTGTGCATTCCAGAAGGTACACTCTTGCCCTATGTATATAACAAAAATTTTGTTTGTTTCATCAATGTTTGTTAATCTTACAGTCTTGTGAGGACACACAGTTGTGTACATCTGCTGTTCATAAGCAGAAGGAGTAAAGTATCTGTCTCTGAACTTGTTTCTGAAGAGTGGAAATCAAAACCAAGGAAATGCTGAATGATCTGTTCTTATTTATGTTTTCCAACACAGACATTAACGGTAAAACAGCTACCGGCACCATAGCCATCCAGGTGGAAGATTTTAATGACCAGTGCCCCACCCTGACCAGTAACATCCAGACTATGTGTACCACGGGTGATTCTGTTATTGTGAATGCCGTAGATGAGGATGTTTACCCGAACGGACCTCCTTTTCGCTATACCATCATCCCAGAGGGCACGGTGGGCAAATGGAAGGTGGAGCCTCTCAATGGTAAGGAGAACACTGACAATTATTTAAGTTGTGGTAGATAGATAGTGAAATATACATATATATAGAAATGTACAAATAGATATATGGTTGGAAATGGCCCTGTATTGGGGCCCTGGTAGAGCCCCGTGTACTAAGAATGAGTCCTTGCTGGAGCGGCCGTGTGTTCAAATCCAACCTGTGGCCCTTTGCTGCATATCATCCCCTCTCTATCCCCCCTTTACTGTCACTCTTCAGCTGTCACTATCAATTAAAGGCAATAAAAGCCCAAATAAGAAATTGACCCTGTATTGACATGAATTAGTATCTGCCACAGATCTGTTTTTACAACTATGGGTTGCCAAAGTGAAACATTTTTAAACTTGAACATGAGTCGCTTTAAGCTTCACAAAAAACAGGATTAATATAAAACCTTAAAACTAGCACTAAGCCTGTTTTGACTATGATGTCTGTTTTGCATCTATTGGACGATCAGAATGTATGGAACCTTGTTTTTAAACAAAAAATTGCAAAAGCCAGATTGAAGCTGGAGTATTTAATCCAGAATACTGTTAAAGCAGTATAGCATATTTATTTTCTACACTTCTCATATGTTCATCTCATCGCCGGCAGACACTGCCGCCATCCTGAGGGCCCAGGAGTCCATGTGGCCTGGTTCCTACGAGGTGCAATTTAAGGTGACAGACGAGCAGGGAGTGGCCTGTCCAGAACCACAGAAAGTGGAGGTCAAGGTTTGTACGTGTGAGGATGGAGTGCTGTGTAAAGAACGAGGCGCCAATGGTCAGTCCAGCAAAGGAGCAGAGTTAGGACCTGCAGGCATCGGACTGCTACTCCTGGGCCTGCTGCTTTTACTACGTAAGTATGATGTGATGAGTGAAGTGTCATGTGATCAAACACTTTCGACTAGGTTGTAGACAGCATACATGTTTTTTCAAATGTGATATAATAGTTAGAGAATTTGTTAGATATGAAAATATTATAGATTCATATATAAATATATAGTCTGAACACATAGGATGTTAATGAAGTACACAAAGGTGGATCAGGTCGAAAGGTCTGTGAATACGTAAGTTATGTATTAAGAAGAATTTAATTTACTTAATTAGACGTTCAGATTTTACTATTGTTATTAGCTGTAACCTATTAAAACATAAGCATTAGATGACTTCATATGAGCATTAAAACCCTCTACATCAGTGATTCCCAACCAGGGATACTTGTACCCTAGGGGGGGTGCTGTTGCCAAGGGGTACATGGAGAGATCGCAGAGTAGCTCAAGGAATTAGAAAAAAAAAAAATTTAATGATTTAATTTTAAAAATACCCCACATAGGAGTCAGCTATAACAATTAAGTTAGGTACGAGTGCAATTAAAAGTGTGCAAAAACTAGCTAGCAAGTGAGCAGAGTTGATGGAACAAGTACGAATGCATACTTCATATGAAAATATTGCAACAACCGTTATTATGTGCACCTTTATATGATTAATAGTTAAATAACATCAAGTTTGAAATAAATTCAAATGAGCACATTTGCAACATAAATGGTGGTGTTGATGAAGGGGTACTTGAGTTCATTGGACTGTGTTGTGGGGGTAGTTCTTTCAAAAAAGTCTGGCAACCAGTGGTCTACACTATCTTAATTCAAGCACCTGAAAATCTTTAAGTATTTATCAATGACAAATTATATAAAGTAAATAAAACATCTCTAGGAATTTTTCATTGACACAAAATTCTTCATCGAGGATGTGTATTGAAATGACCGCAACTATTGTAACTGTGGCACAAAACAGTGTGTAGGATTTGATCACTCACAGCCAGAGGGCAATTATGTTTTCATAATGAGAAGTTGTCATGTCCTTTTAAATGCTCCAACAGACACAAAGAACCCGCAATTGTGGTGGGAAAAAGAATCAGATAACAATCTCTAACAGCCTCAGTTTTGTTTAAAATAAATTCTGAGAACTCTCAACTTTTAGATGTAATTGTGGGTCTGACCAGTAGATGGCAGTGCCAAATCTGACAAACTCGAGAGGCCCAAGACTGTGAGACAAGTCAAAGCAACACATAATACAACACATAACTACAGCAAATATTACAACATACAACACCAAAATGGCTATAGAAACATCTAGTGTTGCTAATAAAGAGCTACATGGTTGCCTATTACAAGAGAAGACATAACCACACATATTGTACCAAGTAAACTGAAACGGCACCCCTGTTTTTTGAGGACCACAGCATCATTGCAGTCCCCACATCACAATTTTGGAGCCATTAAGTTAGACTAAAACTTTGTGGTTGTTTTCACAGTTATTCCTCTGTTGCTGCTCTTCTGCCAATGTGGGGGGGCTGCGGGGCTGCCAGGTGGCTTTACTGAGATGCCTTTTGACACCAAATCACACCTCATTAACTACCGCACCGAGGGCCAGGGAGAGAACACGGTAAGACCAACATATTTCCCTTTATAAACATATGTCAACCACTGTTGAGGACAGGAATATCACCATACATACACTGGTTGCTTGCTGTTGAGATGTTGTCTACTTGAAAGCTGCATGAAGTGATTTTTGACAGTTGGCCACCAGAATAACTGTTGACTCTTGAACATTTGAATCACAAGGAGGTGCCGCTCCTGAACATGCCAACAAAAGTGGATGGCGATATGGTCAACGTGGATATGGGCATGACTAGCAAAACTTCAGCGATGGTGCCCATGTCAGGTTTGGATTTCCAGAAATCTGTCACCTCTGTGGACGGGATGAATGGGGCTATCTATCAAGATGGTTTTTCAAGTGGCCAGAGAGAAGGGACATGGGGGACGATGAACCGTCTGGGTGGCAGTGGCTTCTATTCTGAGTTTGAGGGCAGAGAATCAGGAGTAGGTGGAGGACTTTATGATGGCATGGCTCTGCCAGACCACTTCCTGGGACAGTACTACTCTCAGGTGAGGATTCATTTATGTATTTTTAGTCTACTTTCTCTCTGTTGTAATTGCTGGCTTTTGTGGTCTTGGACATAATTATTTTGATGGTTCTTAATTGTTGGGGGAAACAGATCAAACTGTATAAAAGAGGTATAGCTGGAAATGCGCAAATGCTGTCAACAACATCACGCTATGAACTGTTAAGTTTGGCCTTTGACCCTATAACCCATTTTAAAAAGCCCTTTAAGCTAACTAACTCACTGTGTGTTAATAGACATACCAACAGCTAATGAACACAAAGACAGTTTGCATCATGAATACCAAAATATTATTGTGCTCAGTCTACAAAAAAGGTAACCTTGGTGACGATTTCCTTTTCTCTTTTAACAGAAGGTGAACAGTGGAAATGAGAACCTTGGAGTTAAGGATGGTCTCTTGGTTTATGACTATGAGGGTCAGGGCTCCTCTGCTGGCTCAGTGGGCTGCTGCAGCCTCCTGGAGTCTGACAACAACCTGCAGTTCCTCGAGGACCTCGGGCCAAAGTTCAAGACCCTGGCTGAAGTATGCGGAGGCAAGAAGATCCCAGCTGAAGTCAAACCAATGTTCACTCCTCTACCCAGTGCCTCCATCAACACTCAGAGCTCAGTGTCAAGTGTGGTGAAAGCCCAACAGCTGCCCCCTCCACCCCAGCGGCAGCCAACCATTGCCAAAACAGAGCAGACTGTGTTCAGGGAGACATCTGAGAGTTCCCAGGTGGTGAAGGAAAGCAAAGCAACAATGAAAGAAGGGATGACCACAGTGAAGGAAGGGATGACAAATGAAGGCCAGATGTTCCTGCTACAGCAGCAGCAGCCTGTCTACTACACCACCACCCCTGTGATGCAGCCGATGCACTATGTAGTCCAGCCACAAGTTCAGAACACTGTGCTTCTGGCTGAGGCACCATCCACCAACATGCAGGGCATGGTATTAGTTAATGGCACCCAGACCGGACCTGCCCAAGGTGTGGTTGTTCAGGGACAGATGATGTCTAGTGGACAAGTCCAGGGCCCCGGTATGATGCTGGTGGAGAGGAGCGGGATCCATGGGGCCGGTGCAAACCTGATCCACACTGGCAACCTCTCTGGTTCCCAGACCATGATGGTCGTGGAGGGCAAGGTCCCTACAGGTTCCCTGAAAGTGCTGAAGGGGAGCCAGACTAGCTTCATGCAGGGGGGCACTCTACAGCAAGGAGGGCTTTCAGGATCTCAGAGAGTCCTGGTGGTCGGAGGACCAATAAGCAGCGGAGGGCAGCTGGTCCAGGAGGCAGGAGGTCTGTCCCAGAAGAGTGATATCTCTGGCTCTCAAAGAGTCCTCTACAGTAAGGGCAACACATCCACTGGAGCTCAGAGCAGTGCAGTGGGTTCATCTACTACCACACTGAGCACAACCCCCAACCACCACACAGTGGTGGTGCAGGAGAAGTTCACTGAACTTTGATGTGGAAAAAGACACTTTTTAATGCAGTTCAGACTTCTGGTCAGGCAATATCTTAAGTACATTTATGAGAGACTTGTGAGATATGTCAGTCTATTGGTGGAGGGTTTGCTGCAGCAGTTTGACAAGAAATGAAACATGCTTGTTCATACTACGGTTTCTACTGCACTTAAACAACTGTGTAGTGCACATAGCTGCCCTAACTTTACAGTAACCTGTTTTCTGCCTGGTTTGTTTTCACAAAGGTATTTATGTGAACATTTTCTACACTGATGATTTCTGTAATTTGGCATACAGCATGTGCAGGAGTTAATGTGATCAAGAGAATGTCAATATTTCACATAGTTTTCCCTCATTGGCTAGTCAATGTTGGGAGTGTGCACTGGTTTCAAAAATGGAAAAGTGTAAAAGTATAGTTTTAAATGTAGGTCACACTACATTGACAACTGTTATGTTTTGCATTATTATCAGGTAAACTTTTGTCTGTTTGCAAATAGCCGTAAAACTAATGCCATTCCAATCAGTCTCTGCTGTAATCAGCATCTAGCGTTGTTATTTTGAGCAGGTTACCATGCTGATGTTAGCATGGCAGTAGACTTTTAACATGTTTTCAGCTAGTGAGTGCTGTCATAACAGCTACTGCCCTGCAATGTTGTAGTTTTTTACGTTATTTTGCCACTCGGCGATACCATATACCATACACAGGTTGCAATAAACCTACTATAATCCCATCATGTAGCTCTGTTTGTAGCTTTAAAAAGAGGAAATGGTTTGCAGGATGGCATGATACAGGTTAGGGAATCAAGTTAGGGTTAATCTATTTACAGGTATAGAGGAGAATTGAGTATTTATAGTACATAGTTTGGAGATTATTATAGATCCTAAATTAAACTTACAGAAGGGTGACACTGGAAGAAAGGGACAAAATTACACCTGCTACTGGAGTACCACAGACAACACCATGGATTTTAGGGGTGTAAGAAAATATTGAAAAATATTGTAACACAATATTTTGTTCTGTGATATTGTATACATTTGTGTGCGGAAATCCCCAACTTCTAGATGGCAGTGTTGTAAATGTACTAACATCCTAAAATTAGATTGAACAGTACAGTGAATCTGTATCGTGATCCATATTGTATCCCCACATTCCTGGCAATACACCACCATAATGGATTTATGAAAACCATTCATATATTTTTAGAACTGGATATGGCACCACTGCTCTGCCTTGCTTCCAATTTTCTGACTGCTAACATTTCACCATGTATTACTTTTCCCAGTGAGATAGGGGTATATTTTTATTTTTTTATAACGCTGAGTTCAGCGAAGAGTTAAATAGCTTTCATTACTCTGTTCTGCTGTCTACCTTGCCTAGTAGGAGGGTAGCACCATAATCTAGTTGGGTGTTACTGATCTCCACATAGGAAAACTGCCAGCACAGAGCAGTTTTACCGCTGATCATATGTAGGGGTTGAGTGCCTTGCTCAAGGCTTTAAGTCCACACTCCATACTGTGCCCCATGCTGGATTTCAGTTGGCCCACGCCAGTTTCCTGCAGACTTAGCCTACACCGCCCCCCAAAAAGTATGCAGACCTTAAATTGATATCGTTTGTCAATCACAGCTTTGGCAAATGGTCATCAGATATGTTAAATAGACACGTTTAGGAAATGAATAAGAGAGACATTTATTGTAAAAGAACATAACTAAACAAAAACATTTAAAAAGTGGGTTATGGAAATGTTTTGTCTGAATGAAAATCCACAAAAAAAGTCTTCTAAATGGCTCATGCTGTTTGGACGTGTATTTTCTGATCTGACGCCCCCATCAGCATGACAGCTTTGTCTGTCTGTGCCTTCAAAACTGCTGAAAAAAACCTTTCAACTCACATACAATTCTATGGTCAAGGTTTAGGCACAAAAACATTGGTGAAGTTAAGGGAAACATCATGTTTTGAGTTAAAAATAAGTTCTCTGTTAAGGTTAGCGAATGGTAGTCATGGTTAAAAGAAACCAATATTGTCTGTCAGTAGGAGACAGGAAGCCAAATGCCTGATGTTTGGTTACCAATACATACACAGGTTGCAATAAACCTACTATAATCCCATCATGTTAGGGTTCACCTATTTAAAATGGAGGCAGCACTAGAAACTACTAGCTGTCAGGAAGCACTTCTTCTTCATGTGGGAAAATACTTATCTAACCTATCTGAATAAAATCTCAAGGCCAACCTTGAACCTTGTATGTATTATAAGATTCCTGTCACAATAATCAGTTATGTTTCTTTTGCTAATATGAGGATCTTGAATTCTTTTCCATGCGTCTTTGTAAAAGGCATGGGATGAGCCAGACTGGTAAAGTGAATGGTGCTCTGACCATGGGTGATTTGCTCTGGGTTCTGGTGGTGTTATTTCAGGTTAAGTGACTCTCTTTACATCCTGTGCAGACTTGTTCCTTCATGAGACTCCAGCATTAAGCAGCCTGTGAGAGATTTATGTCTGGTGCAACAGACAAAAATTGGTCCTGTGTTTTATTGTATTTTTTCGTTTGTCAGTAAAAGCTTTCAATTAATTTTTAAGTGCTGTGTGTCAGGGTGCCATCCAGTTATGGTCTTTAAGATAGTACTAGACATAAACATTCACTTTCATTCTCCGGTTGGTTTAAAAGGTTCAGATGTGTCACTGTACAGAATATTGGTAGAATGGTTCTCACAGCTTGTTTCATAAATACTAAATATACCAGTTACTTTGCAATCAACTGAATGAATGTTTAAGATTTAAAGCATTCTTCTACAGTGTCCACTTAATGCTAGGGTGTTGGTGGTGGTAAGATTTCATTGTTGCACTTGAATGAACACAGTAAATGTTTCATGTTGTTTTTAACCAGTCAGTGTCATGAGTTTTATTATTTCATTCCAAATTATGCAATGTTCACACCGATTTAAATCCTGAAACTTAAATTAGTGCTTTGCTTTTAGTATTTTTATCATTATTATTATTATTAAATTGTATGTGCATGTCCATGGTTATACAATAGTAAAAAACAGGGGTTCATTTGCTGGAATACATTTTGACATAATGTCATAATGGCTGTCTAACTTAAATACAACTTCAATAAACACTTCAACTGTTCAACAAGCATTTTATGTTATGTGTCTTCATGAGGTAATTATTATTATAATTATTATTTCTAATTATATTACTGTATATGGCAATATTTACTTGTTAGTACCTGGCTTGGTAAAAAAGGTTTGTGGTTTTACACAGTTAAGAACACACCTGAAGGAATGGAAGAGATAAAGAAAGAGCAGTGCAGAAGTCCATTCATGTCAGAATGATTTGCATATTATCACAGCATACCTACACTGACATTCAATGGCCTCGTGCCAAAATAGCTACAAGGTCTGTGCTGATGACAAGAAGTGAGCGAGCCTCTGCAGTTAAAACCTCCATACTTTGGAACACTTGTGAATATCCAGTGTGTTTAATCTGCTTTTATCTCTTCACATTGGTTATTTTTTGTCTTACCTTATCTAGCCCAGAAAATCCAAAACAGGATTGTATTGCATTTGTTTGCTGTATGATTTATGACACAATGTTGATGTGATGTGTGATTCAGTGCAGAGGAATTTTATTGTGTTTGAATGCGTGTGAAAAGATATGACACATTGTGCAAAACATTCAGGGAGTGGCAAACAAGTTATACAACCTAAACACTGTCAAAGAGCCAAGGCCAACTCACCTGATTTGAGTACTGCTTTTCTTTGATTGGCAGCCATTAAAAGGAGGCCATGCCAATTTGCAACCTATAAGGTGTATTTGAGTAATGATTGGAGGCCTCAAGGAGGTAAAGAATTAGCTGGTTCCTGGCTCAGGAGTTGGAAGACATTGACTTTGTGGGCCCAATATCCCCGGAGTGAATTCGGTTGTGAACCTGTGCTGCATGTTCCCCCTCTCTTTCCCCTTATTTACTTCCTGTCTCCGATTTTCCAAAACAGTCTACAATATCTTGGAGGGACTGATGATTGTGTACAGGAGGAGAGGGAGTGTATAAACCCAGTTGACATTATTTTCAGTCTTAAACTTCCCACATGTTTCACACAACATAATGTTCTCTAGAATCAGCTCACCACAAGTGCCTACATTCTATTCATTTTGTTCCCTCCACCCCTCTTTGTCTCACTGTTGATGAGACGCCGTTTTTCAACTGCCAACCACATGTCATTAAATATAGCAGCCTGTTCTCATTCCAATGACCAAATACTAATGTTATATGCAAATTAAATTGGAGATGCATGTTTTGAAGGTGGGGGAAACAAGAGCACCCGTCTATGACGAGTACACGTATCGTTTCACCCCTAGTCCATAGTAAAGGATAGTTTGATTGTTCTTCATCCCACACCTTTTCCATCACAACAATGATTAATCGGACAATAGTAGGTAGATCTTAGAGAGGATGCGCCTTCCCAGTATTTGGTTTGTGGTGCTAAACCTTGTGTAAATGTTGTGTGTATATGTATCGGTTAATGTACAGACTGTGGCATACATTTCCTGGAAAGGACAATAAAGAATCTTATCTATTTCCCCTAATTGCCTTTTCACCTGTTCTCAGTTTGTAAGACTTTTTCATCCATCACTCGTCTGTGATTCCTTCCTCTCATACAGTACATGCAGACACATACAGAGACAGTCAGACAGGTGTGAACTCACCGTAACAGACAGGTGAAGCAGTAAAACGATGGCTGTCTAACATTCCATGTCTCAGGCAGAAGTTGTACTTTGGGTAAGTTCCAGTGTTGAACTCAGGATGAACAACCAAAGCCAAAGGTAGCACACAGATTTGCAGGAAAAAGTTGACTAATCTCAATTACATCAGTTTATTTTGGCCATGTCAGATAAACATGCTAACATATCGGTCTTCATCAGAGCATTAATTAGACAACTTAATTGATTAATTTAACACTGACAAACTGCTTGCCTTTAGTGGCTAGTAGCAGTAGAGAGATGACAGGAAATGAGGTATGTAACAATGCTGAACTCCAGGATGTTTCAGTTCATGCCCCTGAGCCACAGGAGAACCTCTTAAAGGAAGAATCCTGTTTTCAAAAACCTGGAACTCTATGTTCTACTGGGGAAGAAAATGTCAAAAGTTTAAATCAGTTTTAACTTTGGCTCCGTTATCAGTGTATGAATCATCCATCTCCTTTTGCTTTGATAGCCCAAACTCATGAATACACACGCACAGCCTCCAGAACCAGTTCCACCATCAGAAAAAAAGATTGCTCAGAGAAATGAAAGTTAACACCCTTTAATGTAGCTCCTGTGTTCAGGCTTGACTCCATCTTTAGTTTTCAAGATAAACTTTTCCAGTAGTCAGTCTAAGCATATAATAATTTCTGAAATTTCTGCCTTATCTGGATCTGTTCCCATCCAACATTTCTGATGGGCTTCTCTCTGGCATGAGGCTGAGAAACCTGCATACAGCCAGATGCGAGATACCAAAATGCAGCTAAAAAGAGAGTGAATATTAGACTGTAAAATAGGCAATTAAAAGATTAGCAACATCAACTTTTTAAAGTGATATGTCAAGGTTGTGGTTACAGTTTATTCGGCTGCCCACAAATGGCCCAAAAAATTAAATAATTAATATGCTGCTTTGACAAACTTAATCTGATGAGTTTAAGGTTATCTACACACTTGCCACTGGATGTTCCAGTAGAGCACCAGCACCTCAGACCAAAACAATGGGACAGAAAGAAAATAAAACCAAACTGTCTTTGTTAGTCTTTCCTACAATCACCAGCTCTGGTTTGGTCAAAATAAACCCTTAATTATAGAGTTAAATGTGAAAATATTCATGAAAAGGGCTGTGATGGCCGCAATGTAAGATAAGGTTAAACCAAGAGACTAGGGTTTGTGTCTCAGGTGAAACCAAAAGTCAGTGATGGCTTATTTAAAGTTTTAAGTTATGATTAATTGGTTGCCAATTGAGTTACCGATTTAATCGGCAACTACTGTGATAATCGATTAATCGTTTTGATTGAATCATTTTTTTCTCAGATTTCAGCTTCACAAATGTGAATGTTTTCTGGTTTCTTTAGCTATCTATGACTGTAAACGGAATACCTTTGAGATGTGTTCACATCAAAGACGTCACTTTGGGTTTTGGGAAACAACTTTTTCATAGTTTACTCACATTTTAAGGACGGAACAACTCATTGATTAATCGAGAAAGTGATCGACCCTTAATATTTGTGAAAAAGGCTGCAGTGGCTGCAACATAAGCTTACGTTAATTTTCAGGGACAGATCTCAAAGTATGTCCATTAAAAGTTGTCGTTTTTACCACTTACAGGCTCAGACTGAATATTATGGAAAGGATCCCTACAAAGATAGACATTTTGTTTAACCAGGAACAGCCGTAATATCACTCGCCACCAGACTCCATAGACAAAAACGATAATTTTACCTTGCATATCATCATATCATCATAACATCGTAACGTCACTCAGTCGACAGAAACAAAATAAAACTCACAAAAACCGTTTTTGTTAGTCTTTCCACTGTTCCAACAATCACCAACTCTGCTTTGATGAAAATAAATCCTTAATTCACTGATGTAGATGATAAAATGAGCAGTTTCAGTCGCTCTGCGCACAGAGCAGACCTGCTGTGTGAACAAACCACAGAGAGGCTGCGATAGCAACACAGGCAGAGGGAGTGTGACACCATGACTCCACTGTATCTATAGAGAATAGTTGTTTGTGGCCATATTTATGTGTTAAATCTCGTATATAACCCTTTATGTGAGTAAGTGATCATTCAGCATTAATGAATTTTAGAGAAATTATAACATTTTCTTGAGGCAAAAAAATGTCACAATCTCTGGCAGGAGGAGTTGTGAGGAGGGAGGAGAATGAAGTGCATTGACAGATAAGAGGAGAGGAGAGAGCAGCAGAGAGAAGACAGCTGCCGAAGAGAGGGAGGGAAACTTTCCATGTTCTGAGGGCCTGTTGGAATCTGGAGCTGCTGACGTTGCTGCACCAAAACTGTACTTCACTGTGCGGAGGCACGCTGTTTACCCAGTGCACAACTTCTACTTGAGACATGGAGGGTTTGACAGCCATCATTTTAGTGCTTCACCTGTCTGTTACGGTGAGTTCACAGCTGTCTGACTGACTGTCTCTGTAAGTGTGTCTCATGTACTGTACTGTATGAGAGAAAGGAATCACAGAGACGAGTGATGGATGAGGCAAGTAGGGGAAATAGATTCTTTATTGTCTTTCCAGGAAATGTATGCCACAGTCTGTACATTATCCGTATACACACAACATTAACACAAGATTGACATTTAAACACAGCACACTTGTACATACATTCAGGTATTTACACATAATGGCTACCGGGGAGTTTTGTTGAGTAAGGCTATGGCAGAAGGGACAAAACTTCTGCCAGCAAGCTCGTTTACAGTCTAGTGATTTGTATGTACGCCCGGATGGTAGCAATGTGAAAACCTGATTGAGGGGGTGCCTGGGGTCGTGTGCTATGATCTGTGCTCTGCATGTGATGGCTTTGCTGTTGAGGTCTGAGAGGTTGGGGCTAGGGAGACCAATAATTTTGGAAGCGCTGTTTGTGGTGCGTATGAGTTTGTTCCTGTTGGAGGCAGTTAAAATGTTAATGTTAAAAGAAACAGGTGGAACAGTAATAATAATTTTATAAAGCAGCAGCAGAAGGTGGGGGCAACAGAAGGTCTTAAATGACTAATAATAAAATCAGTTTAATTCATCTAGTAATCTAATAAAAAATACATTAAAATACAATACTGATTTCACCTTTTTATATGTCAAAACTCAGTTGACATTATTTCTGCCTTGAAGTTCACAAACAGCTCGACAATGTCAAATTTAATTTTTTCCATAAGTTCACATACAGCACTATTAATTTTTTTCCCTGCACCCCTCTTTGTCTCCCTTTGATTTAGCCCTCTTTTTTCTATTAACACGTCATCACGTTATTAACATTAAATATACCTTCCAGGGTTTGACGTTAATGAGTTTTTTCACTTGCCTGGCCTGGAAAATCTGCTTGCCTGTAGTCAATATTTACTTGCCCCTATACAGACTGTCTGATTTATTGTGCTTTTTAGACATGCACGATAATGGACTTTAGCCGCTATCTGACATGCTGATACTATCCAGCTCCTTTTAGCTGATTTCTGATGCTGATATATGCACGTATTTCTTCAACCTAATTGCAATTATTATTGTGCCTGCTCTTATTGTTATGGCCCACTGGCATAAAATAAATTTAGATATTTGCTTTGATCATATTGTGAAGAAAATTAACTTCAGTATTGGTGTGCTTTTCCATTCTAGAAGCTAATGTGGTAGATGAATGTTTTAGATGGGGTAGTAAATGTATACAGTTTGGTTAGGGGGTTTGTAATGTTATGGTAGGGGGTGACTGATAAGACTCTGGTCACAGTCACAGGGTCAGATCAAAGGACCATTTGTGTTGAAGACCTCAACCTTTCGCGTATGATTTACAGCAGACAGCAGTATGTAAATAGGATAACAGATTGTACTGAAAGGTATATAAGGGAAAGCATTCTGGAAGTAGGGAGAGAACATCTATGCTGTGGTCTTCTGTCCATGCTGCATGAGTAAAGGGACTTGATTTATCACACTGGGTTCGTAATTCTTCAGAAAACTAGCAACTGTCAATATTATGGAAGAATATTTTATTTTATTTATGTCTTAAATGCCGTTTTACGACATGTGATCTTTTAGGCTTTTATGTCACATTCATTCATGCATGGATGCCCATAGAAGGAAGCAACTCTATATAGAGTGCAGCAGGGTTGATGTATTTTTGTAGACCAGCACAGAAGTTAACAGCGCCAAAGAGATTTTCCATTATGGATTATTGGATTATTGAACAAAGGTTTTTAATACTTGCACATCTTGTTAAGCAAAGTAATCCTCAAAAATGAACACCACATGTGAGATTTTTGAAGTGTAAATGTGATCGGCCAGAGTAAAAAGTTAACGCTGGACTACACTACAGTCACAGGACTTCACAACCACTAAACTTCCAACTTGTAATTACCGTATTGATCCGAATATAAGACGATATTTTTTCCCTTGAAAAATGCCTGAAAATGACGCCTCGTCTTATATTCGGGGTGTAAGGAGTAACCCATGTAAAACAATAGGTAGCGCCATATGAGCGCTTTTCTCTCCGTCAGCGTTTAGTGCAGTGTGACCCTAACGTGATCCTGTAAACAAGCATGTACAGTAAACAAGGCTGGAGTGGGTGTGTTAGCCTTCATTTGCATAAACTGGCGACAACGAAAGTGCGAGTGAGGAGGAGGAACGCAGTGATACTGAGGATGCAGCTTAATGAAAGAAGGTGTTTTTGGATGTTGTTGTTCTCACATTTTGCAGACTGTTCTGACACTGTCGAGACAATGTGCGCCGTTTATTGCACAAGTTAAGCCAGTAGGCTCATGCTCGTTTAATTGCGCTGTTATAGAACCGTGAAGTGCGTTCTGCGCTTTGCCTATTTGCGGAGCTATAGAAGGTTTTATGATTTTTTTCCCCGCATGATAAACACCAAAGATGTTGAAATGTACAAGGAAAACAATGAATTTTTTTTTATGCAAATGAAATTTTGTCCAAATAAAAAGTATTTTTCCAAATATGGGTCTTGAAAAAGAGGGGTCGTCTTATATTCAGGGTCGTCTTATATTCAGGGTCGTCTTATATTCGGGTCAATACGGTACATCATGGAATTAAAATATTCAAGTTGGAAAGTTTGAGGTGGACTAGGTAAGTCTCAGACTCATGCACACACAGGGTGCAACACTTTCATATTGGTGAATGAACACTGCCATCTTCTTCCAGTACATTTTGTTATGTATAACAACTGACCAGAAAGCAGGCACAAAGTATCTCAGAGTAACATTAACACAAATACAGTGATGTGAGATGAATGTTCTGTTCTCTCTGCAGGTGGCAGCCAGTGTTCCACAGCTCCGACGCCACAAGAGGGACTGGGTAATCCCAACAAAAAATCTTAAAGAGAACTTTGACTACACTACAGCAGGTTATGTTGCCAAGGTAAGGAATAAACCCATATCATGTCATCTTTGTGTTGTCAAATTGTGTGTCTCTTAACAGCAAAGGTTCATTTAAATAGCTTTACTGCTATCAGAGATCAACTTGGTAAACCCTACATTATGCCATAGGTCAACTGTTAATCAGCCTAGATCTTCTATGGGAGTTGTTTGCCTCATGACAATGATTAATTGGACGACTTTGTTGATGGATTTTAGTATTGACAAAGTCTCCATCCTGCTGCAGCTTCTCAATTTTTAAATTTAAAGTCCCCCTCCAGTCAGACATCAGTGTTTCTTCTTGTTCCTACAGTGTGATGTTTGATGAATGTCTGTGCAGAGTTTGACACTTGAAGGATGTTTTCACATTCATCTGCTAAAGTGGAATGTTTCTCTGTGCTCATTGAAAATCTGATTAAAATAAATTTCAGCAGATTCAGAAAAGTCAGAAGAGTCATTTAACATTGTCCCCCTCCATTAACACGAGTCAGTCAGGTTTTTTAGTGTTTTATGATGCTATTTCTATGTTGCAATATACTGGGATAAGCACTAGTGGTAAACTACTCTACCTCAATTATGCAATACATGATTCCATTGAAGTCTGGTTGACTTAGGAAGTACAGTAATGCTGTCTCAGTGTTGGGGGCCAGAGTTAACAGGGAAGATTACGAGTCACTGCAAAGTCACAAGCTATGCAGATTTAGGCAGAATGTGATGGAAACTACCACAAAGACAAGTAGTTGCAGCTGTAACAAACACTGGGAAACTAGTTATGACTGGATGAAGTCAGTCTATTACAGACTATCCATGAGCTTTGAAACTTAAGCTTCCTTTGATGCTTACTGTATTTAGTAAAGGTGTGTATCTCTGCCATCTAAGACGATCTGATACCTATCTAGATACATGGGCTACGATTGAGGGACGATGCATTTTAATATGGAACGATTTGATTCGATATGATGCAATCTGATACAGTTCTTAACATTTGTTTAATGTAGACATTTGTTTTACATTTTAAAGTAAAATAAGACTAATCTATAACATTGACATTGCTTACCTTTAAATACATATATTTTATAAAATACCAGGGAATCCCAAGTATTTTTTTCTTCATGTGAAGAAAATGGAAATGTCTCATTTCAGAATTACATGTAATTGTGTTTATAGTTTTAACAGACACAGACAGAAAAGAACTCGTCCAGTTGGAGCTAATTTAATATCTTACCTATTCTAGCTTGTGCTAGCTGTGTTAGCATCCACTAATGCTGTCTCACCAGGTGAGTGTTAACATTTGTCGTGCTACCGCTGGACTTCATTGCTGTCCAACAGATCTGACAAATGGACAGACTTTTCTTCCTTCTTACAGAGTCTATTGTGTGCTTCTGAATCAACCAAAGGGCTAAGGGGAAGAATAGCAATGTTTATTTTTTAGGTAAGACAGACATATTAAAATTTTAGACTACCTCTCTGCATTGGTAACGTGTCCCAGAACAAACATACTCTTTGTCCCACATTTGTATTTTTGTGCAGACTTTCTTAAAAACATTATAAACGTTGCTAATAACAACTTACAGCACAGATGAATGTGCTTACTGGCTGTATTAAAATATATATTATTGATAAGATTGTTGTGCTACACCACTGCTAACAATCCTGTGGGCTTCCTTACTTTTTTGGCGGAGCTCTGACAGAGAAAGGAAAAATAACATGCATGAGGGCTCTTGCTCCTTCATGAATCATCCGTCCCTTTTTGCTTTCGCATTTTACATGTTTTAACCCACACTCTTAAATACAGAGCCTAGAGACGTATAGCATTAAAAGAGACTGCCAGGAGCAATAAAACCGTGTTCAGGCTTGACTTTTTTTACTTTGCAAGGTGCATTGAAACTTTTACATTAGTCAAATACAGTGGATAATTATTCCTGACATTTGTTTCTTATTTGGATCTGTTCCTATCCACACCTTGCATCTGTACAGCACACAGCTGGCACGTTGAAATCATTACATGACATTTAATTAGCTGACATGTTTGTCGAAAGCGACTTACAATAGGTGCATTCAACCATGTGAATACAACCCAGTCTGATCTGAAGATGTAGATTCTGCTGTCCTTTTAATGGGGAGCTTGTTCCACCATTGTGGAGCCAGCACAGCAAACAGCTGAGATTTTGTTGAGCAGTAGCTGGGCCCTCCTTGAATTGAGGGAGCAGTGAGCTGAATGGCAGTAGCAGAGGGTAGTGCACTGGTTGGTTTGACCAGTTCCTGGACGTAGGATGGGCCTGAACTATTCACACCATTGCAGGCAAGTGTCTTGAATCGGATTTGAGCAGCCAGCAGTAGCCAGTGCAGGGTGCAGAGGAACAGTTTATTGTGGGAGAACTTGAAGACCAGCTGAATTGCTGCAGAGGTCTGATGGCAAAGTCAGGCACACCAGCCAGGAGGGAGTTGCAGTAGTAGTAGTAGTAGAAGTATATTGCGATACTGTAAGCAAGGTGATATATTGTGATTTTCTAATATTAGGAAAACTGTCATAGTATAAAGAACACGCCACCATATGCAACTTTTTTATGCAACCAGAACAGTAGAATCTGCATTGGTATTTATCAGCAAGATCCAATATATAGCACTTAGTTTACCCTAAACAAGTACATGCAGTACTCTTTTCTTGCAGCCGAGTAACCTCTGATTTGTACCCGATGCTAACAATCTAGCCTTTCAGTCTTATTTCAGCAGATGAATGTGAAAACATCCTTTTAGTGTCAAACTCTGCCCAGACATCATTCAAACAGCACACTGTAGCAACAAGAAGAAACAGAAGAAGCAAACACTGCTTATTATATTGGGGGTTTCTTTTGTTTTTTTTACTGGTTGCAACTTTGTTTTGATAATTTTCAGATCAGATCAGACGAGGGTGATGGGGGGATCCTGTACTACTCTCTGCTGGGTCCCGGGGCCAGCGAAGTACCACTGAACCTTTTTGTTGTGCAAGAGACCACTGGACTGGTGTTTATCCGAGGATCACTGGACCGAGAGGAGAGAGAAACTTACATTGTGAGAACACAACACGTATTACACATAATCAACTAGAATTCCACATTTAGGGAATTAAAGTGATTTTACTATACTGCTGTCTAATACGTTTTTGATGCATGTCTCCAGTTCTAGAGAAACAACAGCAAGAGTGGCTGATGGCCAAAGTGAAAAGATTTAAAACTGTAGTGCAGACTGAACCACAAAGGAATATAATAAAACACTAAAACCAGTTGTATCAGTTCAACTGATTCTGTGAACTCACAGAAACTTTAAACTTTTGTCTTAAGTCTTTCCCATAGCAAATCTTATGCTGCATTTAACAGTTCTTGTATATCTTAACTGTAAATGAAAAGAAGAGCAGCGACAGACATCATGGTGTCACACAAACATGTACTCTTGTACTTAAACATTTTAATGTAAAAGGTGAAAATCTAATGAATTACCATTTGCAGACGTGTGTTTTTATTTCTGTTCAACAGCTATCAGGAGTGGCCAGATCTAATGATGGCAGAGTGGTTGAATCCGGAATAAACCTTAGGTTTGATGTGGATGATGAGAATGATAATACACCTGTTTTTGTTCCTGTACCTCCAGCTACAGTCAATGAATCAAGTCCAGCAGGTAACACATGTTTTCTGCAACCAACACTTAAAATACAGGATTCAAATGCTCTGCTCTCTTGTTTCTACCTGGTCGGGCGTAGTTGTCTCTAACAGTTAATCTTACGTCTGACCCCTCTCATATTTTATTTGAAGAATCTTTAGAAGCTTTTATAGTCAAATAGTAGATTTAAAGTCACATTCTGTTAACTGTTAACTATGAGTACCAGCACTGGCCCTTAGACAATTTAAGTTTGAGACCCCTGGCGTAAAGGGAACCCAGTACAGCGCATGTGCTTCAGTGAACTGAGGTATTATAATAATTTAAATATTTTGCTTGTTTAACATGTCTGCCGCCTGTAGATAACGATAAGTCAAACTGTACTAGTGTCTTAAACACTCCAACAGGTTGCTGAAAAAAGACCTATAAAGAAGTAGAGAAGGGTGATGGAAATGGAGGGCAGTGTGGCTTGTTTCCATTTGTTGCTCCCTCACTCTCACCTCTGTGCTGAATGTTAGACTAAACCACTTATGAACTAGACACTGGAACAACCTCCTCTACAAGTGTGGCTGACTCTTCTGAGTCGACCCTGATTCAGTGACAGTCATAATGGCCAGAGCGCAAAGCTTTACATTTTTACATTTACGTCATCTGCTTTTTTCCAGGGACTCTTGTCGGGGTGATTACAGCCACTGACGCAGACCAGGCCAACAGTTCCCATTCAAAGATTACCTACAGCATCAAGAAGCAGGAGCCCTCTGATGGCACAGACCTCTTCTACATAGACAGAAACACCGGATCCATCTACGTTAAAGAAAACACCTTAGACAGAGAGGTTAAATAAATGTGGTGGAAACATTCTGTTGTAAATAAAACTTAACTTAAGTTTCATATGCCTTACATCAACTGAACTTGTCGCTCATTGTCCACAGATACAAAGCTCCTACATCTTAACAGTTACAGGAAGTGATATGGATGGAGCTCTTGGAGCTAACACAGGCACTGGGACTATTCATGTCCACGTAGTGGACATCAATGATAACAGACCCATGCTGGACAAAGACGAGGTACTATGACTTTGTTTCCGAATGACTTAAAACAGTGTGCACAGCCCTCCCTGATGTTCCCCTACCCTGTCTACATCTGTTCCTTAAGTTCCTCCAATTGTTCTGCCCTCATCAAAGAGTCCCCTTCCTTAACTACACAGACATATAACTCTTTCAACACACTGTAGTCAATGAATATTGTGCAACATCAATTGTATTGAAAGTATGAGAATAGAGTAAAACTGAAATGAGGAAGGAAAATAAAAGAAACAGTGACTATGGACATCCTCATTAATATGAATTTCCATCATGTACTGTATGCCATATGAAGCCTATTTGACATGGCTACCACATATAGCTAGCTAAAAGCCATTAACAGGACAGAATGCATGGTGGGCAATGAAAAGTACAGGACAAGCATGTCCTACCATACAGAAAAAAATATAATCAGTGCCAATATAGGTATCTTATAAGAATTACACTTACAGTGTTTTTAGATGTGATCCCAAAATGAGATTGACATAAATGATGTTGACAAGCATCTGAATGAGTATCTGTTGCAATATTCCCAATCTCCTGATCCAGTCGATTTGAACAATTTTGGCTTAGGCCTTAAAAATCAAACCCAATCACCCATAATGTTTCAGCAATAAAGTAAAAAAATACAGATTAAAACAAACAAAAAAAAAATATATGAGCCTCTGATGTGTTTAATACAAGCATTGACCTTCCTGATTTTCTCTATTTCTAGATACTCCTAAATGTTGCACTGGATCTTTTAACATATTTTGTTACAAATCCCAGAAAAGTCCACCATGTGCTCAGTCAAAATGGCCTCCTACAGGGTTCAAAGGGCAAGCAATGAGGCCAATATCTAGCAAAACAAAATAATAATAATAAAACCTAGTGGATGCAGAATGAACTCAATGTTTTTTTCTCAGGTCAGAACACCAACAACTACATATACTACATACTGTATCACATCCCGCTATCAAAAACTGACCCTCTGTCTGTACATACAACAATTCAGTCATTCAATACCTGTAATGTAACGCTAGCAATAGTTTGGGGAAACATACTTTCTGACAAAGAGGTAGATTGATACAGCTCTCATGTTTGTCTATTTGAAGTTTAAAGTTCGTTTTATTTAAAAAGGGGCAACGCACATTAATTAACACAAAGACTTAAGTCCATTATGTAAATGTGCCAGATTTAGCCATACAGGCTAATTTTCATCTGCAGTCCCTGGGAGGTTGATGGCATATCAGAAACATTATAAGAGAACATACAAAAGCACATATGCACAAACAAAAAGCACATAAGCACAGATAAAAGGACCAGTGAGTAGGATTTAGTGGCATGTAGTGATGAAGTTGCAGACTATTCCAAGCGTACTGGAGAAACTACGGTGGTCATGAAACCAACTGACTAACCAGCTATCTGGCTACTGGCTGTAGCTTCATATCTAACAGATAGCACATGAGTTATATTAATCTTCTCATCTCTCTCTACCACAAAGACAATGAAACGTTCCTTTGAGCTATTCAAAGTGATAATGATATAATTTAATGTATCTCTTGCCTGTTTTGTGCCGGTGTAGTATGAAGGTGCCATTGTGGAGAACACAGCCAAGGTGGAGGTGATGAGGTTCACAGTGCTGGATGCTGACGAGGAGAAAACGGACAACTGGCTGGCTGTTTTCGATATCGTCACTGGAAATGAAGATGGGATATTCAGCATAAAGACTGATCCCAAAACCAACGAAGGTGTTCTGATGCTTGAAAAGGTCAGTCTATGTTCACATATTGGCTATTGGCTATTGGCTAGAATGGGGGCGGCTGTGGCTCAGAGGTAGAGTGGGTCGTCCACTCATTATAAGGTTGGTGGTTCGATCCCCATGTTATAAGAGTAGCGTAGCTCCTTTAAGGAATAGAGCAGTGCGTGATGTGCGATCGAACGTGTGTGTGGTAGAGCGAGCGGGAGTGTGTGAACAAGTGTGACGGTGAATGGCAGCAGAGCAGCGAGGGACACGGGTTAGCCGTAGGTTATCAGGTTTAGCAGTAAATGTACAGGGTGAGTTACAGTTCACGGTGAATAAAAGCTGACGCTTCTCAAGACCAAAGTGGAGCCTCTGTCTGAGTTGTCTGCCGACTGCTGAGGATAAAGTGAAGGCGGTTAGACTACAGTCTGGGAGCCGAACAGGAATGGTTAACACCAGGCTCCTCTCACTGCATGTCGAAGTGTCCTTGAGCAAGATACTGAACCCCAAATTGTTTAATGAATGCTTAGTTTCCATTCTATTGAGCACCTTGCAGGGCAGCCACTGCCATCAGTGTATGAATGTTTGTGAACAGGGTGAGTGTGGCATGTAGTGTACAGCGCATTGAGAACACACTTTACCACAATCATGATAGTCAAACATACAAAATGAATGCTTCATGACATGACAGCATCAAGAAAAAACTTTTGGTGAGAGTAAAGTGATGTGGCTCAATTCTGTTTTTCCTTTCAGCCTGTTGATTTTGAGGAGAATCCTGATATCAAGCTGGGATTGTTGGTATCCAATGTGGCCCCAGCTGTGGGACAGGGAGGTGGTGATAGCAGTGGAGGAGGAGGAGGAGGAGGAGGAGGAGGAGGAGAAGGGGAAGGAGAAGGAGATGGAGATGGAGATGGAGATGGAGCTGGAAACGGAGGTGTAGATGTTGGACTTGGAACTGGGGCTGCAGCTGGGGCTAGCATGGGGGGTGGGGGTGGGGCTGGGGCTGGGGCCGGCGCTGGCATGGGGGCTGGGGCTGGGGCCGGGGCTGGGGCTGGTAGTGCTGGAGCTGGTGGTAAAAAGCCAGTGAAGAAAAAGAGGCCAAAAAAAGGCAAAATTTACCAAGTGAACATTGCAGTGCTGAATGAGCCTGAGGGGGTTAACTTTAAACCCTCAGTGAAGCCTGTCTTTGTTTCGGAGAACCCAGATGACAATCCTCTAATGGAGGTGATTGCTGTCTTCAGAGCCACTGAAACTGACACTGGAAAACCTGCAGAAAATGTTCGGTAAGGTGTAGTCACACTTGACATTTAGCTTAAAAGCTCCATAAATACATATTTATCATACTTTAATACTACTAGAGCATTTACTAGATCAGTGGTTCTCAACCTGGCGTCTGGAGAACCACAGGATGTCCTTGAGGAGTTTCCAGGTGTTACCCATAAAAAATAAGGAATCTTTTAATTTTCATTGACTAGAAGTTAGCCTAATGAGAGAATGTATAAGAATGACTATTCTTTTCATAGGTTTTACACTGTTTAATCTACAAATATACTGTATGGAATAACTAAATCTTATCAAACAGGGATCCCTGAGACTACATTTTTATATTATATTATAACCAGTAGATAAATTAAAATATGTGACTGTTGTGATTAAACTCTATAAAGTAAATGTGCTGCACTCTGTTCCCACAGATATGCTAAAGGTTATGATCCTGACAACTGGCTGTTGATCGACCCAGAAACAGCTGAGATTAGACTTCAGAAGTACCCAGACAGAGAATCCCCGTTCTTGATTAATGGAACTTACTACGCTAAAATACTAAGTTTGACTGAAGGTAAGCTCTTTTTTATCATGTAAACATTTTGCTACTACTGCTGATCACACTGTGAATAAACACCCACCAAGTTTGTCAAACTTTCTGTTGTGGACTGCTTGTGTTTTCTGATTCCCACAGAAACACCACCTAAGATGATCACAGGAACAATAGCGTTGCAGGTGGGAGATGTAAATGACAACTGCCCCTCACTGACCAATGATGTGGAGTACATCTGCTCAGACACTGAAGTCATTAACGTGACAGCGGTGGATGAGGATGGAGACCCAAACTCAGCCCCTTTCAGCTTCAGCCTTGTGTCAGAGGAGACCCAAGGGGAGTGGAGGGTTGAACCTTCAAATGGTATGGGGCCTTAATTTTAATATTACCTGTTTAATTAGGGTTTCTGTTCACACAAATGGTTTAAACTTCATATTGAAAAGTCTGCACTTGTTGCTAGATGTCTGTCTACATTTGATAAAGCCGGTATGATCAGTGTAAATTATGAGATTTTTTACTCCGGTAGCTACCTTCTTATTGAAGGAAGCCCCAAAAGGCAAGTGAATGTTTTTATTTTATTTTATTTATGAAAACAGGTGAATTTTGCTTTGTTGTAATACTCATTTCCACCACAAAAGGCTAAAGTGCACCTGTTCTAAACAGAACTAAAAGCATTCATGTTTCTTTCAAGGTGAGTGCTCTTATAGCGCCAATTAAAATGCATTTTAATAAAGAATTTCACCTGTTTTCACAGATCTCATCCAGTCCTTTTACCCCAGACAGAACAATTTCTCATGACACAGGGGTGCATCAACAGTGGAAAAACAGTTTTTCCTCTACTGGACCAGTAAGACACCTCTCGTTCTGTCTCGTTCTTAGATACCGGCGTATCCCTTAAGGCTCTGAGACCACTGTGGCCTGGTCACTACAAGGTTGCCTTCATCATCCAGGATCAGCAGGGCCTCGCATGCCCAGACCCCCAGTACCTGGACCTACATGTGTGCTCCTGTGAGGAAGGAGAGACTTGCAGAGCACCACGTTTACACGGTCAAAGAGCTTCTCTCAAGGAATCTTCCTCTACATTTGGAGGATTGGGAGTGGGGGCATTGATCTTGGGACTTCTGACACTGCTTAGTGAGTATGTTGTAGGGTTAGCATGACTAAAAAATTAAATATTAATATATATAAATATTAAATACACTTATATGATCTAGGAATGCGGTTAAAATAATAAAATTTAAAATCTCTTTGTAACTTTAACAAATACCCTATCGATGGGCAGGATTCTTTTGGATTACCCCTGCAGTAGTGAACAACTCTAGCCTATGTCATTTTAAAAATTCTTTCTTTATTGCATTGGGGCAGTGTCATTTTAGAGGTGGATATCTCAAAACAATGGCAAATAAAAATAAAAATCTCCATGTCTAAAACTGAAAATAAGAGAAAATCCTCCCTGTAACCTATTTGAAGTGTAAGATTTTCAATTCTGTTGTGGTTATGTTTTTCAGTCGTAGGGGTCTTTCTGATGACCTGCTCCTGCGGAGGAGTGTCAGGGACCTTCACTGAACTTCCTTTTGATACCAGAGAACACCTCATTGTCTACCACACAGAGGGCCGGGGAGAGGACAAGGTAAAATACACAGTGTGAAGCAGACTATCTGTATTTAGGAGCAAAAAGACTGAAGCATTCCAGCCAATAGTCAACATGATAATACTATATGTTTAAATGACAGATGTGTTTGTGTAGGTAAGTTAACTAATAATAAAGTCATAACAAAGGTGAAGAGAACTAGAATCGGAATCAGAATAGGAAATACTTTGGTAATCCAAAGTAAATGTAAATAAACAGAAATTAAATAGTAATGAGTTTTAAAGATTGTAGATTGTAATCATCTCCAACTATCTACAATCTACAAAGAATGACAGAAAGATCCAGTGTATCACACATGTTATTGCACCTTAATCAACTTATTGCACACCACAGTAACATTTGAGCACCAGATTAATGACAATGACTGAGTTTTGACACTCTGAGGGAGGAGTTAAAGAGTTTCATGGTCACAGGCAGGAATGACTTCCCGTGCCACTCTGTGGTGCACCTCGGCAGAATGAGTCTTGCACTGAAAGTCCTCCTGTGTGCAATAATTGCACATGTACAGTTGTTATACACTTAAATATTTTTGCACACCACATTTCTACTACTGCATATAGTGTATATATTTTTAATTATGGTAAATGGTCCTGTACTTGTATAGCGTAGTCTTCCGACCACTCAAAGCACTTTTACACTACATGCCACATTTACCTTTCACACACATCCCATCAGTGATGGCAAAGCCCATCGCACGGAAACTAATGCATCCATACACTGATGCAAACATTGGGAGCAGAATCAGGGTTCAGTATCTTGAAGGATACTTCAGCGGGTGGCTGTAGGAGCCGGGGATCGAACCATCAGCCTTCCGACTGGTGGACAACCAGCTCTGTCTCTGAGCCAGCATCCCCCTCTCTGATACTGCCATCAAAGAGTGTAGCTCCACGCTCACAACATCACTGGCCTTGCAGATCAGTTCATTGAGTTTGTTAGTGTCTGCTACCCTCAACCTGCTGCCCCAGCAGACAACAGCAAACTGGCCACTACAGACTCACTTAAGTTCAAATTAAAAATGTAACAAAGTTAGTTCAAACTGTAGGTTTTGGAATTAAAAGTGCACTTAATAAATAATAACAACGAAAATTACACTAAATTTGAAGGACACCAGATTTCGTAGCCCCAAATTCCACCAGGCATGGCTGCAAAACGTTCCGGCTCTGCCACAGTCACCGGAGTTGATCATGCCCAAAACAATACTCGAAACTAGCAGCATTCCCTGAAGCATCTGAAGCTACAATCTGCTCCGCATAGAATATGCAGCTGGTGTATTTTTATTGGAATTCTCAACCCACTCACGTCAACAACAGCACAGCTAAGCACTGATAGATCTGAAATAAACTTGCTTCTAAACTTGCAAGTGACGTCTTGACTTGACTTGACCTGGACTTCAAAATAAAACAGGTCCGGGTGCAGGTTTAGAATCAGTGACCACTGTGGTGTTTGATTCCTAAAAGGCAGCAGTTATCAGGTCAGTGTATACAGATGTTATGTTGGTAAAAATTGAAGCATATATACTTACACACACATACATCCGAAGGCTGTGCTGCCTAGAGGAAATGTGCAAATGCAAATGTGATCATATTTTAGCAGTCAAGCTTTATACATTCCTAAAGATCTCAACTCTAAAAATAACATGTAATATGATTCGGTAGCGTGGTTTGAGGATTGCACAATGAGGCAAAAACGTATTATTGTTTACTAGTCAATTTCACGTCAATGTCAGAAAAGTCAATGTGCAGCCTAAAATGTCTGTTTTAAAATGTCGCTCGTCAATGGCTGTCTATGTTTCCCTCAGAGTGTCCCTCTGCTTAGCTCTCCTGTCCAGATGACACGTGCCACCACATCTGCTGTACAGGCCATCAACATAGCTTCCATGACCAAAGTGGACACAACAACTTCCTTCAAAAGTCTGAACATGGACACTGCCAACAACCGCTGGCAACACAAGTCCCAGTGTGTGGCCGAGGGCAGGATGCAGCAGAGCAGCTTTAGAAAATCCAGGGGGATCTGCAAAGAGGCGTACTCAAAACAGGAACAGCTGTTACTGTATAAAGACATGGATGGCATCGCCCTCTCTGATGTGTTTCTGCATGAGTTCTACTCACAGGTGAGACCAGGTCTAGGTCTTTTTCATTTTTTAATATTAAAAATTTTAAAGTGATGAGTTAGAACTAAGCCTTTTTTTAGTGAATGCAGTTACTGTATTCGGTTCCAACGTGTGTGTTAACGGTTTCTAAGACAGCTGGTCCTTGGTCTGAGGCAGTTTTAAATTTGTTATCAGAGTACTGTGTGTTGGCACTGTTTGTGAATGAGGGTTTGTATCAAGCTATGTCACAGGCAGCTCTCAAACATTAATTCAAACTGTGTAAATGTTGCTTTGGGCACATTGGTGCTGGTAATTAGAGTTTCATTATGCAGATTGTTAACAGTGTGTTGGATGTAATCATTCGTGAATTTTTATACAAGGACTTGGCAGAGACAATGGCAGTAACATGCCTTTAATTTTTTCTTTGTATTAATGTTGATGTCTGTACAGAAGGCGAGCTGTGCAGCAGCAAGGCAGGCAACAAGGGACAATCTGTTGGAGTATGACTATGAGGGTCAGGGCTCCCCTGCTGGCTCAGTGGGCTGCTGCAGCATCCTGGAGTCTGACAACGACCTGCAGTTCCTTGATGACCTCGGGCTGAAGTTCAAGACCCTGGCTGAGATCTGTTCGCCGCCGAGACCTCCAACACCTCCAACACCTCTGAGTGTTTGTCAAAGTATTGTCACTCCAGAGGTGGATGACCACATTGCAAGGCTCTCATTGGACACTAAACCACCAGGCATCCATGGCATGAGCCCAGAGCCAAACCAGAATGTCAGCATCAGCCAGTCATCCACCAGAGTCATTAATGGATTTAATGGAGCAGCTTGCAGCAGCATGCATGTGCAGTCTGCAGACAGCACCAGTAACAAGGCTCTTTCATCTCATGTTAGTCCTGTTACCACAGCCATGCAGCCCTCTCCTGGACAAATGCTTGTACTACAGCAACAGCAGCCTGTCTACTACACCACCACCCCTGTGCTCCAGCCGATGCACTATGTAGTCCAGCCACAGCTTCAGAGCAATGTGCTGCTGGCTGAAGCTCCTGTTACCAACCTGCAGGGCATGATTCTGCTCAACGGGACGCCTCAACACACTAAGCACATCCTGCATGGGGGAAACACCGCCAGGACTTTAACTCTCGGTAGGCAAAGAGGCCAGAGAGTGGTCAAGGAGACCCAGGGAGCAGGGATATGGGTTAGGTCTGACGGTGCAGGAGAGGTGATGGGTGTCAGGAGGAGTGGTCGCAGGATTAAGTCAGAGGGCGGAGATATGGCGGAGCATCGTAGCATAGGGACGCTGGTAGGTGGACACATGAGTGTGGAAGCAGCAGGGTCTGAAGAGGGGCAGTTAGTGAAAGCCAGAGGAAACAAGACCAGAAGAAGGTCAACAACGTCAGCAGAGACAGGTTTCATTTAATAGAATTCATTCAGAAAACACAGAACCAGCAGACCAAATACCTTCTCATATAAAAATCAAAAGATTCCTTTATCTAACTTGTGTACTGACAACGGAAAGCTGTGCATTTAATTACCGTCAATTATTACCTGCTACTTAAAAACATGTGAACCTCCTGAGCACTGTTTTCCCATTATTTTCTTATTTCATCAGTATTTTTTTATATGAAATAACAAGTGCATGTTTATCAATCCCATATTCTTTTTTTTGTTGTTGAGAAAATCAATTGCGTAGTCAAAAGACTAAATTATTTTGTAAAAATCGTTTGTGAACCCTGATTTTTTGTTTAAAACAAGCAGGTAAATACAAACAGGAGGCACAACATTGTTGGCTAAATGAACTAATGAAATGAGCGACCTTTAGAGCGGTAGTTTAGTAATCCACGGTAGTACTGTTGTGTAGGAAGCGTGACGTTTTGGCACCGCGAGTACCATGCAATGTTTCAATCACAGCCCTACGTTGTATACGCCTCCCTGTAATTCACTCACTCATTAGGCTACTCTGCTCAGGCCGTGACGAGCAGAGACAACCATGTTGCTGCTGATCAGTGTGCTAGCAGCAGCAGGGCATTATAATTCATTACTTGTGTTGTTGTTGTTGTTATTGTGAATGTACGGCAGGCTGTAGCCAACGATATATAGCGCAATTCATTACTTATGGGAAACGTTTCAAGAGCAACAGGCTACCTCCAAGCAGCACAGCACAGGGAGAAGTGGGTGTAATGCGGAAGACGTAGCCAGTCAAACCAACCAATAGAAACTCTTCTCTCGTCCACCAGCGTAGGCCCCGCCCATCAAGTGCAGTTGAATTCGCAAGCAAAACTTTTGAATTTGCAAGCAAAGAGGACTGATTTATAAGCAAAATGGTCGTATGTTTTTACTTACAAACATTAGTTTTGATTGAAGTTGAAGAAATATGTTCTCTCATATTTTTTTTTCAATTGCAACCTGTTCTGTTTTGATCTCAAAAAAATGTTTTTGATTGCCACTTACTCTTTTTTGCTCTCAAATCTCGTTTTTGGTTTCAAATCTATTCTATTTGATTGAATAATAAAGGAACAAAATTCTCTCCATATCTGTCCTCCTGTCTGTCCTCCCGCCTGTCCTACCGACTCTTCCGTTACATTTTTGCCCGAAAAACAGCGTCTGTCACCGGCGAAAAACTTGCGGAGTGTTAAAACATTCTCCGCCTTGCAAGTGAGGGAGTCAGTTTACTGCTGGTGATTATTATGTAATAATTGTGTAATTTAGAGTGAAAAACGTAACTATGTCACTTTCCAGGATGTTTGGTGGGTCAGGATCTCAATCACTACACATTATAACAGCATCCATATGATTATAAAGTGTCAGCGGGTTTAGATTGACGGGGGAGACAACTGGGAAACACCTTCAACACGAGCTCTGCAGTGATTGGCTCTGCTGCGCACGTGGCTACGGTGGCTGTAGTTGACAATACTAGCGGAATTCGTAAATAATTTATGAAATAATAATTTATTAACGGTCTCTTTATAGTCCAAACAAAGCCGATGTTACACACCCTCAAACCACACAGCAGCCATGTTGAAACTCTCAGGTCAGTCTGATCCTGATCTGCAGAGATATTTGAGCCACACACACACACACACACACAGACAGAGATTCCTTGCTTTATAGATAGATAGATGAGCGGCAGGTGTACGGAGGCGGTACATAAAGAGACTGGAGATGGAAGGCATGGCAGAGACGGACAGAACGGGTGAACAGAACGGGTCGACACCTCCTGGGACAGCAGCAGCAGCTACAAGTACAGAGCAGCCCCCGGACGACGAGCGGCAGTGAACCAGCGCTCCTCAGAGAGAAAACGCCAGAGAATGCCAGGGAGGCGCAGCCGGAAGGGACGCCGTAGCACGCCAAGAGGACCGACGGAGGAGGCCCAGACACTGGTGCAAAGCAGGCGGATCAAAGGTTGCTGGCGACTGTGGACTGTGCACGAGGGGATGCAGTATAGTATGGACAATTATGGACATTAATTTTTAGTATTGTTTTAGGTGGCACCATCTTTTTATTATAATAAACCCTTTTAAATGACTTTTATTCTCCTGATGGTTTTTTAACTCTGCTCAAACCTGATTTTAAAAGAACTTGGCTTTTTAGGAGTCCTAGGCTCCATATTAATCCTAGGTGGCGTTGTCGGCTTTACATACATTTTATTGACTCGGAGCAGGTCTAGAAATAGAGTTTTGGCGGCTAACACTAGCATGACACCTGATCCGGGTCTGACAAAAGCCCTGGAAGCGATGACAGCGAATATTGCCACTATAAAAAATGGCTGTGAAATCTACAGTTATTTACTGCAGTAAACACAGTAACATCACTGTGTATGATTTTTACAGTAGAATACTGTAAATCTTACAATAAAACCTTGTTCACGTGACAAAATCACAGTAGTTTAAGGGTTACTGTAAAGAAAATCACAATAGCCAGTATAGTACTGTAAATAGTAAAGTAAACTACTGTATTTTTTCTTTATTGTGTGTATTAGATTTTTAAAAAAGTATATCATAACAAAAACAATGATTAACTCATAGTTTTGATCTAAGGTTTTTTTTTTTATCATAAGTTTGACCCTTTATATCTTATATATGTCTTCTTATCTCATCTCATCATATCTCTCTAACAGTTCTTCCAGACATTTGTTGTAATTTCCTTTGGAATATCTCTTATTGATATCACTGAAAACTTTATATTTCCAAAGAATGTCTAATAAGGATCCGTAGAGGCGCTCTGATATTTCTTATGGTAGGAGAAAGTTTGACAGACATAGCAACAGTAACTAAGGGGGCGGGGCTTATCGAAGGGTCAAATTGACTTATTATGGGACTTTTATTTTCTATCAAAGTTTTTTCCCGCCTCACTTTCAATTTATCCAATGAGGATCAAGAGAGGTCAACGGTCGTGCTTCTAATGGGCCAGTCACGTCATTTCAAAACCGGACTAACCGCGAACACCGCAGGAAGTTTGCGGTTCTGACTCCGCAACAAAGCTCCGTGTCTGCTCGCTCCTGGAGACTTTTATTGCTTCGCTGCGCGGGAGAAGTTTTTTCCACCCTTGGCCTCCGCGGGTCCGCCACCAAACGTCCAGAAAATCGGTAAGTACCATCACTAGCAGCGAAAGAAATAGTTCCACACTCTGCCTCCTGCTCAGGCTGTGATGAACCACTGTACCCAGCTAGGTTAGCAGTTAGCTTGCTATCACAATGAATTACTCATGCAAGCTCTGTCATTTCACAACACTGGACACATAGCTACAATCTGTTAGCCCCTTTTTTTTTACTTTTAGTGGCTTCACATATGTTAGTTTATTTGTGTGCACAGCACCAAGCTCCTGGGTGTTTCTGCTGGCGAATATTATAAGATAATGAATCCAACATTGTGGATTATCTTGAGCAGGCTGGCTGTAGAATGAAGAGACATATGGAGAGTAGTAAGTACTGCTGATCCTACTACATGCATTGCGTGTGCCTGATAAATATATATACTGAACTTTATTCCCACTGGCATTGTTTAATTAATGTGACATTATGCCCCATACATGTATTACTTGTTACATAACTGCGCTTGTGTCAACACTTGGAGTAACAAGTGTTTTTCAGACAGTATTATCACCTCTAAAAGGGGGGGAAAGAATTCTGAGAAATAAGTTAATGCATGTCCAAGATACTGTATTTTCTTTATTTTTATCTATTTAATAAAAGTTTGTTTTGTTTTTCTCTGCAAACAGTTATTTGTAACCGGTTACTCGTTAACATGTACATATTGTCCCACCCTTAACTCCTATACTCATTTTCATAGGTTTTTAGTCAGGATTAATCCGGACTCCACCAAGTGCAGTGCCAAGGAGCAGATGAGCCGGAAGACTGGGAGAGTGGTGAAGCGGAAGACTTCATACATGAACCCCCAATCTCCTTCATCAGGGACTTCACTGAGTTCGATTGGCAAACTGACTAGATGCAGGTGAGGTTCTGATGATAGCTTTTGCATTGAAAGTTCAAGATGGTTTATTCAAAGATGTTCTCTCAGATATCTTATTAAATAATGTGTGTTAAGCTACTGCTGTGTCAGTGACTGAATGCTGATGGAGACTATGGTCCACTGATGAAGGCTCTTGAGTCGACTTCAGCAGGAAAAATCAAACATGCTGTAATTCATGATCAATCAAAAACATGTTAATCACAGTTAATTCAACATCTCTTTAAGCATTTTAACACATTGCTAAACTCAATTGCATCTTGAATCAAAATGTCGGCTACCTTAAACTGAATGCAGCACTGTCATCTTTGGATATTTGATACACTTTCTATCAGGAATAAGTACCTTGACACGACATCGCCATCTTAGACCTTCATACGTGGTGCATTACAAAGTGACTGTAATAAATGTAATTGTTTGTGTTTTCTTCTTTAATTTCAGGGCTCCAACTGGGATCTGGGTCTCCAAGTTCAGGGCAAGCAAGAGGCCATAGACTTTTATTTCAAGTGTGAGGGGAATGAGAGGACTTTACAGTGTCCTGATGCATTGTTCATGCAAATGTTCAGTATTTTAAAGTAAATGTATAATTGTGAAGCTCGGCTGACTGCTTTTTTTTTTTTTTTTTTTTTTGATTTCTTGTTTCTAATGTTTCAGGCGTGCCTGGGTAGTTGCAGTAGTCAGACAAAGTAGAGGTGTCTCTTTCATTGTTGTGTTGGTTCTGAAGTGGTACTTGATCTGAAAAGTTTGGTAACCTGTGCTTTATCATGTTCCTGTTCACCAAATGTCTTCAATGAATAATTGTGTCAACAATTTTCTTGTTTTCTGTAGTAAATTGAAATATTTTAGAATATGGGTCATTCTATTAATGTTGGATAATAAGTCAAAGTGATGCAGTATTTAAATTGTACAGTGAGTAACTGAATTTACAATGATCAACAGTTACCCACTGTTAACAGTACAGTATTGCCATTTACAATACCATTTTAAAAAATCACAGTATTTAATTGGTATTTATTTTACAGTAAATACACCAATACTGTAAATGGAAGTACAGTATGGCTACTGTAAAACATTTACAGTAACTTGCTGGTTAATTGTTGCCAGTAAGTTACTGTAAATTTTAAGGTAATTTTGTTACAGGGTGGATGAAAAATTAGAAAAGATGCTGCACGACATCACCACAAATATCTCTCAGAGTTTGAAAGAAGTCACGACCGTGTCAGTGAGGTGGAACAGAGAATTTTAGTGGTGGAAAATGTGTCTACTGAACAGCATTTGCTAGTCTTACAGGTAAAACAGGGAAGTAGCTGACAGAACGGATCCAAGATTATGAGAATAGAGGTCGACGCAAAAACCTGAGGATTATTGGCCTGCAAGAGAAGCTGGAGGGAACAAACCCAACAGAGTTTATGGAGTCCTGGATTCCCCAGCTCCTACAACTAGACACCAAAGCGGGCCATATCAAGTTGTGATGGACCACAACAGTTTGTGAAGGACCAAGTGTTAGTCTTTGTAATGGCCACTGTTTTGTTACATGTTATCAGCACGCTCAGTCCCGTTAGTATGCTATTCATGCCTCCCAAAGACAGGCTGGATGTGGGCTGTGGATAATGATAAACGTGTGACAGTGATGAGTGGCAACAACTTAAGATATGCTAAGTACTTAATTTAACTGAACATAGCTAGTATTAAACTCTGTACTTGGAATGTACGGGGCATTCATCACCCAGTGAAGAGAAAAAAGATTCTCACCTCTCAAAAAGGAAGGAGTGGACATCGCCCTCCTACAGGAAACCCGTCTGAAGGATCAAGGACATCTTAAACTGAAGCGGGACAGGGTTGGTCAGACTTTTTTCTCATCCCACACAAACAGCAGAGGGGTATGTATCCTGATAAATAAGAAATTGCCCTTTAAACTTCTTGTGTTAAGGACAGTAGTGGGTGATATATTATAATTAAGGGTCTGCTGTATGGGAAATACATCTCAATTCTTAATGTTTATGCGCCACCAAATCACCCTACTGACTTTGTCACAAAGGCATTCTTGGAGTTTGCAGAACTTGAAACTGAATGTTGTATTGTAGGTGGGGACTTAAAAATGCCACCTGAACCCGCTTATGGACAGAATGCCTGCAGATCCTAGGGTCCTATCAAAAACTGCCAGGGCACTAATAGACACATGTGAGGAGTTTGGGTTTATTGATGTTTGGAGAACTGTGCATCCTACTTCTAAAGAGTTCACTTTTTTTCCAATGCTTATAAGAGCAGTTCTAGAATAGATTATTTTTTCATCCCTAAGTTAATGCTTTCCTCTGTGTCTTGCGATCATTGTTGGGCAAGTTACTTTTAAAAAGTAATTAGTTACAGTTACTAGTTACTTCTTCCAAAAAGTAACTAAATTAGTTACTCAGTTACAAATTATAAAAGTAACTAGTTACTTCAGAAAGTAACTATTGCGTTACTTTAGAGTACATTTTTAAATGCTCAAATGTGACCCCACCTCCACCCCTCTTTAACAGAACTTAAAATACATGTGCATGTTCAATTATTTATGATAAATCTGAATATTATAATGAGATTGACACTTAATACAATCCATTATTAACAGAAACAATGTACGCAAATCTAAACTATTTTAATGTTGCTGTGGGACAAAGTGAAACTAGCCTCCAATCAAATGCCATGTATGTAGATATTATGTTCATATAGTGGATCCATACAAATAACACAATAGATGTTTTGGAACTTTTGATATTTATTGCCCCTCAACAGGCCACAACTGGGCAAAATTAAATTATGCTTGTTAAGCACTATACCAAAAATAAATAACAAATATATACACTCTTTGTAGTGCAAATAAAACAAAAAAAACTTCAGACAATTGGTAGATATACTGTACTTCAAGTATTTTCTTCCTTGAAAAAGTAGAACAGTGTAACAATATGAGGTGCTTTCAATCTAACTGAAAAGTACAATGTATAGCAAAACTAAGGAATCCAAATATAAACAGGTAATACATAAGAAATAAAAAATACATCTCCATAAAAATAAATCTCTTTCTCTGGCCATTGCCAATCTCACTTCTAGAGGCTGCAGCCAGCCAACAAATAAATCTAAATTAAATGATGCTCTTTAAGCAATGTACCAAAAATGTATTCAAACAATATATACACTCTTTTTAGTGCACATGTAATAAGATGCAACACAATTCGCCATACCTGTCTCTCGTTGACTGACTCGCTTGTGTTGTTCGTTGTGTGTCCGACTATGCGTGCTTTCGAACACCTGCCCAACTCTACCTCTGATTGGCTTACCATGAAATTTTACTCAACCTCAGCCAATCGTCAGCATTTATGTGCTTGTCTCGTGCACTGCCCACTAACCAAGGAAGAACAGTAAAAAGTCTTTGCCTCTCGGCTCAGAGATCTAGTTGGTCTGATGACAAAAACAGCTTCAATTATAGTAACGCACCGCATTTTTTGGCAGTAATGGTAACAGTGTTATTAAGATGGGAAGAGTAATCAATTAGATTACTCGTTACTGAAAAAAGTAACGCCATTAGTAACGCCGTTATTTATAACCCCGTTATTCCCATCACTACTTGCATATAGGAACTATTTCTATTTCTGATCACAGCCCAATATTCTTATAGTTTGCTCTTTACCGAGAAACAGTGCTCTTCTAATTCCTGGAGGTTCAATCCACACTTACTTAGTGATCCCAATTTCATTTCTTACTTTATATCAGAATTTAACATATTTTATACAATAAATAAAACCCCAGATATAACCCCATCAATATTATGGGAAACCTGTAAGGTTTATGCCAGAGGCCTTATTATCTCCTATGTTAGACGTAAGCAACGTAAATCTTTAGAAGCCCAAAGGAAATTAGAAGGCAAACTTGCGGATTTGGAGAAGACATATGCGAAATACACCTCTGATATTAATATGAAAGCAATGTTGGCTACAAGAGCATCTCTAAATTCTCTTCTTAATCAGAGCTGAGCAGAGTATTCCATTTGCTTAACAAAGACTATATGAGTATGGTAATAAACCAAGTAAGTATCTTGCAAGACTAGTGAACAAGAGGACTGACTCTCAGACAATTTCATCTATTAAAGACACAAATGGACACAGTAAATCTGATAAAGTTAATATTTGTAAGGTTTTTAGGGAATTTTATAGCCAGTTATATAGTAGTGAAGAGCAGGACTTGATTGATAGATTTATGTCGAAGCTTACTTTACCTAAACTGACGGAGGAACAAACACAGGGGCTAAATGGACCAATTGCAAAGCAGGAGGTTTTCGAGGCATTGCAGACTTTACAATCAGGGATCTCTCCAGGCCCAGACGGCCTTAGCAGTGAATTCTATAAAGATTTTAAATCAGAGCTTATGGGACCTTTTTTGGAGATGCTAAATGAATCATTTAATAAATGCTCTTTACCTATATCACTTACAGAGGCCAATATTAGTCTTATACTTTAAAAAGGGAAACGTCCCAAACATTAGGCTTTATCAGCTGGCTGCACAGCTTCGATACATAGCTGAATGGATTAATAATGACCCAGAATCGGTGTGGCTAGATCTGGAATCTGTGAATGCAGGTAATGCCCTCTCAAGTCTTTTATTTGCCTTAGACTCAAGGAAAACCAAGAATGTTGGGGACAATAACATTTTAATTACAACAAGTCTGCAAGCTTGGCTAGCAATAAGAAAGTTAGAGGGTTGTTCTAAAACATTGTCCTCGCTAGCTCCGATATATGGTAACATGGATTTTGCCCCAGCCCGCTCAGACATGGGATTTAAGATGTGGGAGGAGAGGGGGATTTTAACTCTGGGACATTTATTTGATAAAGGAGTGATGCTTACATTTGAACAAATCCGACAGAAATATGGTCTCCCGAGAAACCACTTCCTCAGATATCTGCAAATTCGCAGCTTCATTCAGAATCAAAGCAGGTATGACTTTGACTGTCAGACTTCACTGATGGAACGTTTACTTCTTGGTAGAGGCAAGAAAGCAGTTCTCGGTCGGGGGTATGCTGAGCTCAACTCTGCTAGCAATATGAACTATCTTCGATGCAAATGGAATGCTGACTTCAATCTTACAATAGATGAGTCAACGTGGCTGGAAATATGACGGTTAGCTAGAGAGATCTCCATATGTAATAGAACCAGAGTCTCAGTTTAGAATATTGCATCGCTTGCAGACCACACCACAGCTCAGACACAGGATGAACTCAAGTTTGTCTGAAAAGTGTTCCAAATGTCAAGTAGAAGTGAGAAGCTATAGGCACTGTATGTGGAAATGTTTCCATATTGAGGAATACTGGGGTAAAATTGTTAGTAAACTTGATTTGATTTTTAATGTCCAGCTGGATGCTGATCCTCAGGTACTGCTTCTTGGCTTGCCCAGTCCTCATATTAAAGGGTCTCATCAAAGAAGGCTGCTCAGTATTCTCACATTTGCTGCTCCGAAAAAAATATTTCTCAGATGGATTGATAATGCACCACCTACAATTGGGGGTTGGCACAAAGTGATATTTGACTAACATACAGATTCAAATGTAGGGTGGATGATTTTTTTAGGATCTGGACCCCTTTCTTTAAATATGCTGGTAAAAGACTTACAACTATTGTATTAAAAGGGATGATAGATGGCAATGAGGAAAACTGGCTAACTGATGTTTTTGGGTCGTAAGGTTGGACATTAATTTAATTATAATAATTTTTTCATTTATTCATTTATTTTATTTTTTATTTTTTAAAAACATAGCATTTTCTCTCAAATTGATATCATAGTTATTTTCTTTATTACTCTTCTTTCTTTCCAGATATGTAT